GAGGGAGGGAGGGAGGAAGGAAGGAAAGAAAGAAAGAAAAGAGAAGGAAAGGAGGGAGGGAGGAAGGAAGGAAGGAAAGAAAGAAAGAAAAGAGAAGGAAAGGAGGGAGGGAGGAAGGAAGAAACAAAAGAAAGAAAGAAAAAGATAAAATTAAAAAGTTATTAAAATAAAAAACAAAAAATTATTATTAAAAATTTTTTAAGTAATTAAAAAAGAATGAAGAGAACAACCAAACCAAAAAACAAATCCCCTAATGATAACAAGCACTGAAAACCATACTAAAAAAACAGAAAAAAACCAGACAGAACCCTTGGACAAGTGCTAAAAGCAAAGCTGTACAGACAAAACCACACACAGAAGCATACACATACATACAGAAAGAGAAAAAGGGGGGAAAAAATATATATCATTGCCCCCAAAGTCCACCTCCTCAATTTGGAATGATTTGTTGTCTATTCAGATATTCCAGAGATGCAGGGTACATTAAGTTGACTGTGGAGATTTAATCCGCTGCTCCTGAGGCTGCTGGGAGAGATTTCCTTTTCTCTTCTTTGTTCTCACAGCTCCCAGGGTTCAGCTTTAGATTTGGCCCCGCCTCTGCGTGTAGGTCGCCTGAGGGCGTCTGTTCTTCACTCAGACAGGACGGGGTTGAAGGAGCAGCTGTTTCGGGGTCTCTGGCTCACTCAGGCCGGGGGGAGGGAGGAGTACGGAGTGCGGGGCGAGCCTGTGGCGGCAGAGGCCAGCATGACGTTGCACCAGTCTGAGGCGCGCCGTGCGTTCTCCCGGGGGAGTTGTCCCTGGATCACGGGACCCTGGCAGTGGTGGGCTGCACAGCCTCCCAGGAGGGGAGGTGTGGATAGTGACCTGTGCCTGCACACAGGCTTCTTGGTGGCCACAGCAGCAGCCTTAGTGTCTCATGCCCGTCTCTGGGGTCTGCACTGATAGCCACGGCTCGCGCCCATCTCTGGAGCTCCTTTAAGCAGTGCTCTTAATCCCCACTCCTCGCGCACCAGGAAACAGAGGCAAGAAAAAGTCTCTTGCCTCTTCTGCAGTTCCAGACCTTTTCCCAGACTCCCTCCTGGCTAGCCGTGGCACACTAGCCCCCTTCAGGCTGTGTTCACACGGCGAACCCCAGTCCTCTCCCTGGAATCCGACCGAAGCCGGAGCCTCAGCTCCCAGCCCCCGCCCACCCCGGCGGGTGAGCAGCCAAGCCTCTCGGGCTGGTGAGTGCTGACCGGCACCGATCCTCTGTGCGGGAATCTCTCCGCTTTTCCCTCTGCACCCCTGTTGCTGCGCTCTCCTCCTTGGCTCCGAAGCTTCCCCCCTGCGCCACCCTCAGTCTTCGCCCATGAAGGGGCTTGTAAGCCTAGTGTGTGGAAACCTTTCCTCCTTCACAGCTCCCTCCCAGAGGTGCAGGTCGTGTCCCTATTCTTTTGTCTCTGTTTTTTCTTTTTTCTTTTGCCCTACCCAGGTACTTGGGGAGTTTCTTGCCTTTTGGGAGGTCTGAGGTCTTCTACCAGTGTTCAGTAGGTGTTCTGTAGGACTTGTTCCACATGTAGATGTATTTCTGATGTATTTGTGGAGTGGAAGGTGATCTCCATGTCTTACTCTTCTGCCTTCTTGAAGCCTCTCTCAGCTTTCTTTTATACTTCATGCTTTTTGTGTCTTATTTGAGAAATCTTAGCCTAACCCAAGATTTTATCTCATATTTTTTATAGTTTTAGCTCTTCAGTCAGTGATCCACTTTGAATTAATTTTTGTATATGGTATTAGGGTGGGATTGAGTTGGGGTTTTTTGTTTGTTTGCCTATGCCTGTATGCTTGTCCCAGCACTATTTGTTGAAAAGATTATCCTTTTCCCATTGAATTGCCTTTGTACCTTTGTCAGAAATTGATCATGGATGTGCGGGTTTATGGCATCTATTCTTTCCAGTGATTGATTTGTCTACCTTTATGTCATTATTTTACTGTCTTAATGATTACTATAGCTTTGTAATAAGTCTTGAAATTGCATGGTGTAAGCCCTTCAACTTTGTTCTTTATAGTTGTTTTGGCTATTTCAGGTCCTTTGCATTTCAGTATAAGTTTTAGAATCAGCTTGTCACTTTCTTTGAGGAAAGCTGCTGGGCCTTTGGAATTACATTAGCTCTATGGATCATATTGGAGAGAATTGACATCTTAGCAGCATTGAGTCTTCATATCCATGGACATGGCATATATCACTCCGTTTATTTAAGCCTTGAATTTCTCTCAGCAATGTTTTGTAGCTTTTGTATATTGACCTTGTAGCCTGCAGCCTTGCTACACTCACTTATTAGGTCTAGCAACTTTTTTGTAGATTTCTTAGAATTTTCTATATACATGGTCATGTTATCAGCAAATAAAGACTGATGTACTTCTTCCTTTACAATCTCTATTCCTTTTATTTCTTTTTCTTTTTCTTTCCAGTACAAAGTTAAATAGAAGTAGTGAGATTAGACATCCTTAACTTGTTTCTGGTGTTGGGGTGAAATTATTCAGTATTTGACCAATAAGTTTGATGTTAGCTATATGTTTCTTATATATATACTTTATCAGATTGAGGAAGTTTCCTTTTATTCCTGATTTGCTGAGGTTTTATGAGAGGTTTTTGTCATGTGATTTTTTTGTATCTATTGAAATGATAATATGGTTTTCTTTTTTAGTGAATTCCATTGGTTGGTTTTCTAATGTTAAACCAACCTTACATTCCTGGGCTAAAACCCACTTGGTTATGATGCATTGCTTTTTTATATATTGTTAAGTTTGATATACTAAAATTTTGTCAAGAATTTTTATATCTCTGTTTATGAGGGTTATTGGTTTATAGTTTTTTTTTTTTTTTTTTTTTTTTTTTTTCGTTTTAAGGGCTTGTTCTTGTCTGGCTTTGGTATCAGGTTAATGCTGGCCTCACAATGAACTAGGAAGTATTTCTTCCTCTTTGGTTTTCTGGAAGAGTTTGTGCAGAATTGGTATTATTTCTTCCTTAATAATTGATGACATTTACAAGCGAAGCCACCTGGGCATAGAGTTTTCTTTGTAGGAAGTTTTAAACTACAAATTCAATTTCATTGATAGATATAGGACTATTTGGGTATCTGTTTCTTCTTTAATGAGCTTTAGTAGGTTGTGTCTTTCCAGGGATTTGTCCATTTTACCTAAAGTGTCAAAGATGTAAAGTTGTTCATTGTATTTATTATTCCTTCAAAGACTGTGGTATCTGTAGGGATGGCCCTTTTTCCAGTACTGTAACTGGTAATTTGTGGCTTTTTTTCCCCTGACAGTCTGACTAGAGGCTTATCAAGTTTATTGACTTTTTAAAAACCCAGCTTTGGGTTTCATTGATTTTTCTTTTGTTTCCTAAGTTATTGGTTGATTTCTGTCCTTTTTCCTTCTGCATAGTTTGAGTTTAATTTAATTTTTTTCGTATGGGGTACTTTTTAATTTAAGATGGAAATTTAGTTATTAATTTGAGACTTTCTTTTCTAATGTAGGCATTTAGTTCTATACTTTCTCTGTAAGTGCTGCTTTAGTTCCATTCCACAATTTTTTTTAGCTGCAAGGGGAACTGGTAAATAGAATTTTTTAGTGGGACATATTTCATTTATAGACATAATTAGGATTCTGTAAGTAAGGATTCAGAGGAGAAAGAATGTTGCAGCAGTGAAGTGAAGTGAAGTGAAGCGAAGCCAGCAGTGTCTACCATGGCAGCAACCTTTAAAAATCAAGCTACACGTTATGCAATATCATTATTATAAAACTACAGTTCACCTAAGCCATTGCAGGTCACATGGGCACATCTACTTGCTTTTTTTTTTTTTTTTTTTTTTGGTGGTAAATTAGCCTTAAGTTTCTTTAAAATTTAAAAAAGTTTTTTTGCTATATGACTGGCAGATAGGGAAAGTCAAATTGAGGGTCCTTTAGTTTTTTGTTAGCAGCCTAAACTTTTTATGGTGGAAAATTTTTAAGTACAAGGAATTTATTGAGCTTCTGTGTATTCATTAACTGATTTAAATAATTAACAACATGTGGCCAGTCTTACTTCAGTTATACCCCATCCTTTGTGCATTATTTTGAAGCAAATCTCAGAATTCATTGTTTCATTCATTAAATACTTCGGCATGTATCTTTAAAAGATAAAGGTTCTTTTTATTTTTAAAAAACAGTCACAGTACCATTAACATAACCTCTAAAAATTAACAGTAGTTCCTTTATATTATAAGGTATCCAGTGTTCAATTTTTGGCTATCATAAAAAATTTTTTTTGTATAATTTGTTTTGAGTTAGGATCTAAATAAGTTCCATTCAAGCAATTCATATTTTGTGACTCAGTAAGTTTAGTGAAACCTGTGACATTAGAACTTTTCCAAGGCAAAAGCTATTGAAAATTGCTTTTCATGATCACAGTGAAAACCTTCATTGAAATTAAGCTTGGGAAAATATAGTTGTTTTTTCATATTTTTTTTGTGGTGTTTTGTTTTGAATGTTAAAGATCTGACTGTTAGATTTTTTGAAAAATGATCATTACTGAGTTATTGATTGATTGATACCCTTCTGTGCACCAAAGCAGTGCTAGTTGAAGTATACAATGGTAAGCAAGATAGACATCTTTCTCTGTGTTTAGTCATTTTAAATACTGATGTTTTGGTTTTATATTTGAAATCTTAATTCATGTCTTGTTCTGGGCAAGGAATAAATTGTTTTCTTGATTCCTCTCCCCTCCCACCAAATCTTGTGCTTGCAATCATTGTGCCAGATGGTATGACAGTTTTTATTTTTGTTTTTAAAATTCCATTCCAACTTGGCTGTGTAAGACAAAGTTGTTCCCCTCAAATAGCTTAAAATTTAATAGAAGAGATACATCCAGCAGAAAATAATAATGGCAGGCTGTTACATTTCCTGTGCCCTATTTGACTTGATTATTTTTTGGTTTAACTGTTTTCTTTTTCTTTCTACCCATGTTTTATGACTGCATCTTGCAGGAGAGTCTTATAGATGCAAGTGAAGACAGCCAGCTAGAAGCTGCCATCAGAGCCTCCTTGCAAGAGACACATTTTGATTCCACACAGACAAAACAGGATAGCCGCTCAGATGAAGAATCTGAATCTGAACTTTTTTCTGGCAGTGAGGAGTTCATATCCGTTTGTGGCTCTGATGAGGAGGAGGAGATAGAGAATCTTGCCAAGTCTAGGAAGTCTCCCCACAAAGATTTGGGGCATAGAAAAGAGGAAAACAGAAGGTCACTGACTGAGCCCCCTGCCAGAACTGAGCCTGGAACAGCCACAAATCACCAAGGATTGCCAGCGATGGATTCAGAAATATTGGAGATGTCACCTGAAAAATCAGATGGAATAGTGGAGGGCATTGATGTAAATGGTGGGTTACATTTTAGATTTCCTTTACTTAATACTTGAATATTACTGAAGGGATTTGTTTATTTGTTTAAATTAGTCTTCTATCTTAAGCAGCTATATCTCTCTATATATTTTTTAACCCTTCCTTTAGGACCAAAAGCACAGCTGATGTTGCGGTATCCAGATGGAAAAAGGGAACAAATCACTCTTCCAGAGCAAGCTAAACTACTAGTAAGTATATCTAATTGGAAGCATTTACTCGAAGCAGAAAAACTAATTGGCGTAATTAGCTTGATGATTCTTTGAAATAGGTGTTAGGTCTGACCTCTAACTGGAAACTTCACTGTGGTGAATCTTAATTCTAACTGCTTTATTTCCTTCCCAAATTATCTTGGGCAACTCACATAGTATGTTGTAGCCAAGGCATTTCTGTTCCATGGCTGCATGTAATAGAAACCCAACTGAAATTATTACCTGGAAAAGGGGAGTGGGGTTATTTGAAGACTGTAGAGGGGCCTCCTGGGTTTCTAGTAGCTGGAACTGCAAAGTAGTTAAGAACCAAGACTATTTTCCTGTGTGTTTCTCTTGTGGGGCCTGTTGGGTTTTCCCCTTGTGATTCTCTACTTCATACCATTCTTCTCTCTGTATTCTGGTGGCTTTTGTTTGCAAAACAGCTTGTACATAGTCCATCATACCGGTGCTTTGAGGGCCTTTTCCTCCAGAGTCCACAGCTGATGGGCCCTCCCTCCGTATTTTTCAACTTCTAGAAAAGAGAATGAGTCTGACTTGCTTAGATTAGCCTATGAATGGATCCTCCTTGAGTCAGGTGTTCATACCTGGCCATTTGCTGTGGCTAAAAATAATGAGAATCTTGAAGACTGTGACTTGAATGCAAGTAGGCTCTGGCCTCTGGTGCTAATATCCAGACTGTCTCCCTAGTCTAGTAATTGGAAAGGAATGGGAGATGAGACAATGAATAGAACAAGTATAGACCACTTTTTTGAGAAGGTTGGTTGTGAAGCTAGAGTGGGGAGTGGGCAGTAATCAGAGGGGAAAAGATGATCGAAGGAGAGACTGAGCATGTTTAAGTCTTATTGGAGGTATCTGCAGAGAAGATATTGAAGATACCCGTAAAAGAGTGGTATTCCGTGGTGGCACAGTTTCTGAGATGGCAAGAAGGGATTCAATGCACAGGTGACAAGATAGGATGAACGACATATCTTCCCTGATAAATAGAAAGAAGGAAAACTGATAAAATGTTTAAAAATTAGGACAGTAGTTTTTTTTTTTTTTTTTTTAAGGGAACTTTATTTTTATTTATATATTTATTTATGGCTGCTTTGGGTCTTCATTGCTGCACAGGCTTTCTCTAGTTGTGGTGAGCGGGGGCTACTCTTCATTGTGGTGCGTGGGCTTCTCATTGTGGTGGATTCTCTTGTTGCGGAGCACGGGCTCTAGGCACATGGCTTCAGTTGTTGTGGCACGAGGGCTCAGTAGTTGTGGCTTGCGGGCTCTAGAGTACAGGCTCAGTAGTTGTGGCGCACAGGTTTAGTTGCTCCGTGGCATGTGGGATCTTCCTGGACCAGGGCTCGAACCTGTGTCCCCTGCATTGGCAGGCAGCTTCTTAACCACTGCACCACCAGGGAAGAAATTGGGTTTGTTCATTGGAGAGACAGTAATAACCCTGTATATTTCAGTATCACTTAATGGCTCTAAATTATTGGGTGCAGGTTTAGTATCTCCCCATCCAGAGGGTTATATTGGCCCTTCCATAAGAGTAAGCTTCAATTATCTGAAAGAATAACTTAAACTTTTATCTGATTTTAAAATGAATGTTATATTTTTAATTCTTCAATATGCTCTTTCTTTTTGTTTCCATCTAACAGCTTTGTCTTTCTGTTATTTTTCATAGGCTTTGGTGAAGCATGTCCAATCTAAAGGATATCCAAATGAACGTTTTGAACTTCTCACCAACTTCCCTCGAAGGAAACTCTCTCATCTGGACTATGATATTACATTACAGGAGGCAGGCCTTTGTCCTCAAGAGACTGTCTTTGTACAGGAAAGAAATTAACATCATGGCCTGACCTCTCTCAGCTTACCCCTTTTTTTCCCTTTTTCTGTGAGATACCATGTCACTGAGTATGTATTTTGGCTCATAGGACCATAGAGCCAAAGTTGGGCAAGCAAGTCACCTGCCTTCTCTTTTATTTCTTGTTCTCTCCTATAATCAGTCTCACATACCCCACCCCACCCCTCTTTTTCTCTCTTCTCCCATTTTCTTCTCTTTCCTACTTTTCTCTCTTTCTTACCTAATCTGGTGACCAAATGGAAGTGTTAGGATAAGACCTCCTAGTACTGGCAGCAGGAAATGTATGTTCCAATAAGTGGTCTCTTACACAGCACTTTTTTGGGATCAAATGATAATGTTACTCCTCAGATTCCTTTGGTAAAGGAATGGCTAGATTCAGAATAAGAGCAGCCTCCTTTTTTTGTAAGCCCCATGTTTAGTAGGGAGAAGAAATTCTCTAACACATGTTTTGTTTTATTATTCATGTAGGAAATATCGTGTAACAGTGTCCAGGGTTTTGTTTACATGGAAAAAAGCGTCCTTTATAATTATTGCTCATCATATTTAAAATTTTTTTCAAAGGATTCCCATCTTCCCAGCTAGAATTGTTTCCATGATATGTGTTATTGACAGAAAGAATGTTAAACTAGGGTAAGTAGCATGGGGTGGCTTTCAGTATCCTAGCCTGAGACAGCTTTCTTTATTACTCTATAAACTATCTTGATCCTGCTAGTCCTGGAATGGACATTTCGTGAGCATATTGTGGTGACTGGGATAGGAAGGTGCTTGCTGTTCTTGCCAGTACAGCATAATAGTTCCTTTGGCCCTTCCATTGTTTGGGTCCACAAGTGATCTGTAGGAAGGCAGATGTTCAATAATCATGAGTACAGTGGCTTGTAGTTATAACCACTATGGTTATTGATTGTCCTATGTACTTTAAGGCATACTTAATGTATGCCCCAGGGGAAAAAGAAAAGATGCAGCTGAGAGTTGCTAACCATGTTCCTTTGGTTAGAAATAATGATTCATTTTTTACCCTTGGTTGGAACAGTCTCTAAAAGGCTCTGGTGACTGAATGAGCCTAATTCCTCATGCTGTTTCTTGCAAAAGGTATCAAAACTGAAAACCTCTCTAAGTAGAAGACCTTTAAAATCAATTCATAAGACAACATTTAGTAAGGGAGGTGGGGAAGATTACCAGTAATCTTCAGATGTGGGTTTTTTCTGCCAACAAAAGCCACATTCAAATTGTAGTTGATGAATGCTTTTTTCAGTATTATTTAGAAGAGGCCATCTTGAATCTATATAATATGATTTGACTTATCAGCTTCACATTTTGCTCGATTCTTATTTTGAGCTTTAGAGTCCTCTGAAGGGGTAGTAGTAACTCTGGTGGCAAAAATCAGAACTTTAACTTGTTATAAAACCATAATACAGAATGAACGTATTTTGTCAATTGAGGTTTAGATTGACTGATTCTTCTGCTTGAGGAACATAAATTGCTATTGCTCAGAGACCTTTAGGTTCCCATCTACTTTAAGATCACTCTCTTGGCAACTAGGGGATTAAAAAAAAAAAAACATGCTTGTTTTTGCTAGTACACAGTTAGAGAATACAGTTTCTAATGGTTGGAATTTGAGGGACCCTCTCTAAAGAATGAGTTATGTATCTCCTCAAGGAAATCATGGAAAATTCTGTTTATTCTTCAGTGAGTCCTATTGAATTAATGTTCTTACATTTTTTTCTAAGTCTGTGTAAGTGCTTATGTATAAGTATATAATTGTATAAATATTTATAAATATATTTATATAATTACAATTTCATTTATACCTTGAGTCAAAGTTCTCTCTTTAGATTGGTGACTGAGTAATACCACTTCGGTGTTTTTTTCATAGGCTCTCGAGGCTAACTAGCAGCTTCTGATCTAGTGAGGAGGCATGGTTTTCATGTTAATTCCTCAGTTGTATATCTGAAATTGGATAATATACTTGCTATCTGAAGAAAAGAGCTATATACAAAGGTGCATTAGAGGGTAAAAAAATTGTTGGTTGTAGACAAGGTCAGAAATCTAGAAATTCAGGGAGGCACAGGGTAAGAAATGAGGTTATGCTCAGTGTTGGTGCTGTCATGGCACCTATTTCCACTCGGCAAAGTCACAGCTAAAGTCCAAATCTGTCAAAAATATGAAGTCAAGAATTTTCCCCATAGGATTCTGTTTCATTCTTTTACCTACTAGTTTCTTTTTATAAAACATATCTAGAGAACTTGAGACAACATGTTCGTTAATGATAAGATATAGTTCTTTCTGATAAGCTCAGCCCTGGCATATCCATTTATGAGAAACCAAAGTGACTTTTTCAACTTCGATTACTGTGAGATGACCACATCAAAGTGATATAAGTAAGCATATCAAAGAGATAGGGCATGAGATACTGATCCAACTTAGATAAAACTGGAGTGTTTAGAGTACAAGATTAGAGGATTTTATTTTATTTTGAGGCAGGAGTGTAATTATCCTGGCCTTGATATAGAGGCCCATGGGGGAGGCATTATGGATTGTACACAAGAAGAGTATGGATTGTGCTTTGTTCAAGAACTTAATCCACTTAGGTAGTATGTCTTATTTCTTCTGCAAATTCCTTAGCTCTTTGGAGGAGAGATTTTATTGAATAGATAAAATGAAGTTAGTAAGATAGGTAAAAATAGTCATTCCTTGTAGGTATTGGAAACAGCTTGAGAGAGATCTTAAAAGGTAAGGAGGAAAAGAGCAAGATAGACTTTGAGAGTAAATGACAGGAGACAAATATAAAGAGATGAAATGAAAACTAGCAGGGGAAAAGTAACAGGAAGTCTTTTGAATTTGATTTAGGAAGGAACCAGAGAAGAGAACAGCCAAATGAGGGAAGAACAGGGAACTAATTTTGAGTAACTAACGTGCGAAGTACTTTATGTGCATTTTCTCCTTTAATCTCCCTAAGAACTCTACCAAATGGATATTTCCCCCATTTTATAGATAAGGAAGAAAATTGAAGTGCAGAGAACTTGTTCAGGATGTCACAGCTAGTAAGTAAGTGGCAAAATCAAAATTGGCATTCATGCTTTTTTCACTCCCATGCTGTAGTCTCCTGCAATAGGAATCAATTTGCTCAAAAGGTTATCTTCGCGTTGTTTGGCTCTGTAAGTTATCATTTGATTTTTTTCCTTAAAGCTTGTGAGATTTGTGCTATGCCTATAAATTCTTATTTACACTGTTATTTTGAGGGGCAGGTTACTGATTGCTTTTTTAAAATGATGCAGTGATGAAAATGTAAGAGGAAAATAACTATGGCATTATTTGCCAAGAAAAAATGGAAAGGATAAAAAAGAATTTTATCAAATTTTTAACCATTTCTCAGAAAAGATACAATTATCTTTTCTATATCCCATCTGTATTAGATTATTGAAACTTCTATGTGTATATTTTAAAATCTCCTATAAAATTCTACTTCCTTGATTCTATAAGTTAACAATTATTTGAGTCCTTAATCAAAGTTGGAAAAATCTTGAAATCCAAGATCTGGTTCCTGCCTGTTTTATCCAGTTGGAGAGACACACTACACTTGAGATAATAGGAGAATATGTAAATGCTTACCTTTCTGAGACTGAACCATAATTACAATAGAAGTTTAGAAAGGGTAAAGAATAGTGTAGGCTTTAGTTAGGAAAATAAAACTGGAAAGTGGCAAACACTGTGGCTCAGATTTTCTTTTGACTTACCTGTATTCTTTAGTTCCACCTTTTGTAACTACTAGATTTAGGGCATGATGTTTTAACAGTAAGGCATAACTAGTACCCAAGTAGGAAAGAATTATTGATTCCAGGATTAAAGATTTTAGCTAGCAGGGATCTCACTTGGATACTTAGGAAAATACCAGAGGGAGCCACTTGCTACTGAAAAGTGAAGGAAAGATTTAATTTCTATACCCAGGTACAAATTAAATGTATAGTACAATATATTATATATGATATGCAGAAAGGGCACTATATGTAGGCAATAAGTGTACTTGGGTAACAGCTCTGCTTCTAATTAACAGAGAATTGGACTAGATCAATAGTTCTTAGTCTGTTCAAGTAAAAGGGCTTGTAATTTTAAAATTCAGCAGTGGTGGGGAGTTGTGGGGTTAAGTATAAATATCATTAATTCCATAAGTGGAGAAAATGTAAATGTGCATATGGAATTGCAGACCTTTTGCAGAAACTCTTGGAACCTACAGATTGTAGACCACTGAATTAGATTATCTCTGAATCTTTTCCACTCCAAAATTTAATGCTTTTAGTCTCTTACCTTTATTTTATATATTATCCCTAGAGTAATTAAAAGTATACTTGTTAATCAGTTCTTGCTTTTTTTTTCCTGTGTCCAGGTTTCATTTGCCCAGTAACTTGATCTGCCCTACTGTGATGACTGTAATCTTCAGAAAGGAGAGTATAATAGTTACAGATCTAGTAATGATCTTTTAAACACAATTCATTACTTTTAAAACTTAATGCTGTGTTCCTAATCAGTGTTGAGTATGACTAAAATGTAATGAGAACCAAATATTTCACTGACACCGGAGTTAAATTTTATTTTGTATGTGTGCTTAAACAAAGCACTTTACTGGCTGAGTAATTGTTAGGAAATTGATTTGTGTAAGCTGTAGAAGTCACACTTGGTTTTGACAGAAACAAGTGTTTCAAGATCCAATTAGGCCGACTTTTTAAAATATTTCTTATCCCATAGAGTGTATCTCCATGGTGTCATTCTCTCTCTGGCCCTCTTTCATTTGGAGCCAGAGAGAGAGAGTAAATAGTATTCAGTAGTACTACTCAATAGTAAATCATGGGATGGGGGTTGATGAATAAGTAAAGTCTTGTGTAAAACTAAATGAGAGTAAGAAGAACCCACCCTTCTGGTGAACATGGCAGTTTTCCAATAGGACCACTTAAAGACAGCTGTGTACTATGAATATTCAACTTCATTGATTTGCCTTGCTTAACATTTTAGTTACTGCCTCACCGTGCAGTTTAGTATTGCACTGTACACATTTTAGAATGGTGGTAAGAATGTTCTTTAGTACTGAAAATAACCAACAGAGAACACCAAGCCTGACATTGATTTCTCCTGACATGTAGAAATTTGGTATTTCAGTGATGGCTATTTTGGTCTTTGATTCACCTATGTATCAATCCTGCTAGAGAGACAGCTTAGAATCTAGCTTTTTTCAGTAGAGATTATGATGACCTTGGTAGTTTTCCCATGAAGTGATCTCGTGGTTAAATTATTGGATGTAATGAGACCCTTAAATTAGAAAATCTTTTAATATAATTTTATTTTTCCATTCTCTTCTTGATTTTTGACATCTGTTCTCAGAAAATGTCTTGATTTTTAATGAAAATTGGCTGTGTTTAAGAAATTCCATTTCTAAATTTTAATATGTAACATTTTTCATTTTTCATAAATTAATATACAAGGAAAGAATTTGAGGCAAACATCATTTTTATAACTCATTTTCTCTCTACCTAAGAATCCTTATTCCAAATATAGAATAGCTAGCTCCATGATACCCCTCCGCCCTTTTTTGGCCTATGGAATGCAGTTGTATTGCTTAGAATCTCAGTCATTCTCATAAACATGATAGTGTTTGGTACAGGCCTTGCTTTGACATATGATCTCAAAGTAGAGTTGAGCAATCTAATATGAACTACTTTAATAAAACATAATTTAGCATTTCTGTATTTTCAAAAGATAACCAGATTTACGTGTAGGATTAGAGATACAAATACCGATGGTAGTATTTTCCTAAGAACAATCAAATATTAATCTATAAATATGGAAAGCTGCCTTGTTGTACTTAATTCTCTTGCAACAAACAGCAAATTTTTGTTGTTTGCCTAATAGTATTTCCTCTACAGAGATCAAAATGCCCTAAGATTTTATATCCCTTATAAGGTCACTTGGGTTTACAAATTGGAGGAATAAGCTGGACTTAACATAAGAAAAATTTTACCTCCATTAAAAGAAGTTGTTAATCTAACTGGGCCACCATGAATCACTCATTTATTAGACATGGTAAATAAAATGGGAAACATTTCAAATAATTAGATAAATTCTGACCTGGAATTGAATTCTCCCTTCCTTAAAATCTTTTCTATTTGCTTTTTTCATAGACTCAATATGGGCATCTTATCTGATAAGGGAGAAATTCTTGATATGGAGCCATTCCCTGCCATTGTGCTTTTTTTCCCCTCTGTCAAGGTCACTGACTTTAAGTACATGTCACCAGGATATATTTCAAGTTAATGGCATTGGAATGTTGATGCTCAGTTGGATATCTTTCTGTTTTCAACAAAATGGCTTTATAGTATGCTTTTCTCAAAGCTTCTGTGTTCTTAATAATGGAAAATATCAATAAATGGTGTGAATCAAAATATAAATAGGTTTTTGACACTGATAATCAGATGCTCTTAACAGTAGTTTTTTGATAATTCATTGCCCTGTAAGTTAAACCTCATGTGGAGTGACCATTGCCACCAGAAAATCCCCTCTTACATGCTAATTAGAATGAAAGGAGTATGTGACCTCCACTTTTCAGTTAATGAGTAGGAAGTTTGTAGGGGCTGTTTATCTTACCTGTTGGGGGACTTGGGCCTTGTTACTTTCCTAGGTTTGTCACTTCGGTTTGGAAAGGGTATTTAAAACTTGCTGGGAAACAGACAGTAAAGCTATGAGATAATCCTCTAGTCTTAAATGTAGAGAAATGAGTACCAGTTGATGCTAACACAATACTTGGACTTTGAGGGGCTTCCAGCCAAGCTTTGGCATGAATTTTAGACACAATTTTATTCACTCTTAAGAATCTTTCTTTCTAGAATGGTTTTCCCTTTGATTGTTAACAACTTCTAAGCATCTGGTGTCTTTTTTTTTTTTAACCCTTTAAGAAACAAAGTAGGTATTGATTGTTCCATGGAAACACTCAGGAGTGTTGTAGGCTTCTGTGCATGCTTTGTATGAATTTAGTTTGAACAATGCGTTCTGAATCATCTGGGATGTCCAATTCTGGCATGTCTTCACTAACTGTGTTTTTTAAACATTTTCCATGTCATTTTCCAAACCTCACTTCCCATCTTATTCAGAGAAGTTTAACCAAGGAATGAAATTTGGGGATAGGGATGGGGGTGGGTTGGGGGCTTGAGTGAAGTCAACTTAGGGTATTTGCTTTAGTGTTCTCAAGCAGTTTCTCACAGTGTTTAGAAATTCCCTGGGATGTTTGTGTACTCACCTTATTCTGGATAAAGTGGTGGTCTTAGTGAGATTTGCATTCTTAATGCAGGACAGGCTCTAAATTTAATCTGTAGTGTAACTTTGTTATTGAATCCAAGAAGATAATGGACAGAGACAGTGCTTCTATTGTAATGTTTCTGGCAAGTGTTCCCTAAAATGCACATATGTATAGTTCTCAGTTTTCTGGGCTTTAATCCCGTGGTGCTAGGAGATATCATTTATTTCTGCAGTTCTTCTCAAGAGTGGGAAGAAGGCTTTGGGACATGTGAGAAAGGGGCAACTGGATCATCCACTAAATTTTTTTGTTCAAGACACACTAGAGACCCTCCTGTATTTCTAGTAAGTGATAATAAAGGTGCTAGGGAAAGCCTTAAATCTGAAGACATATGGAGGCCGTAGAAAATCTAAACTTGTAGGAGGAGAAAAACAAGCCGTTAGATAAAGCAGAGCTGTAACTGCTGGCTAAGACTCAATGGAACTTCCACTTGCTCTAAAACCAGGGAAATCTTAGATAACTGGGTGTGATATATCTATAGATACACATAGTCTATAGGTAAATAATTTCTAAAATGAGGATCTTTCTCTCAGTTGGTGATCCTCTGGTTTTGGCTGTACCAAATTGTGAATATTCTTGCTGTGTTGTACCCAGTTGCTTTATATTGATATTGCAACTTGAATTGGGGAGGGGGGCGGTGGGACATTTGGGGTTGGGGAGGGAGGGAAGTCTTTTGAAGACATCAGCTCACTGTGCTGAGAGAGGGACCAAACTCAAGGAAACCTCTGATCTATAAATTCAACTGCTGCATTTTTTTATAAATACATGTAAATGTCCTGTTGTAATATTTGATCTTGGAAATAAAATCAAAAACTTTTCAGTATTAGTTTTCTTGCATTATTGTTTTTGTGAGGTAAGACTCTGGATACTACTTTTGTTAATACAGTTCAGGTTTGCTTGCTTTCATATTCTCATGTTTAGCACACTAGTATTTATTGAAAAAGGTTAGTTCATAGTCGGGTTGTCAAGGGTAAATGTTTGTTAGCTTCTTCTCTGCTCTTAGTTAACATGTTGAACATTCATGATAAATGCTCTATAAATGTTGGTTGAACTATTCATGAAATCACTGGGTTAGCTAGCCTTGTAAGGAAAGTAAGATTCTGTATTTGACATATTGGCAGTTCAAGCAGTGTCTAGTCTTTCAGATCAGCAGTGACTAATGACTAAGGACTCAGCTTAAACAAGTGAAGGAAAAAAAGTAATTACTAAATTAATGGGAGAAAAACCAGGAGTTATGAGAGACCATGATGAGCAAAACAGACACAGCCCCTGCCCTCAAAGAACTTTCTTTTTAGTTAGGAATACAGATAGTAAACAAATTTTAAAAATATAGATTTGATTCAAATACTATGAACAAAACTGGAAAAGGAGCCAGTAGAGAATTCTGCTTTAAATAGGATGTTGGGGAGTTAACATTTAGACTGACACCTGAAGGATGAAAAGAAGGTGGCCCATACTAAGAGTAGGAGGAAAACTTCCAAGGAGAACAACAAATGCAAAGGCTGTGGAGCAGGAAAGTTTTTGATGTATCCGAGGTATTGAGAGAAGGCCAATGTGTTTTGCATGTAGTGAGCAAAGGGAGTGGCATAAAATGTGTAAAAGCCAGATCATACAACACCTTATTAGGCCCAGTAAGGAGTTCATATAGTGTTCATATAGAGTATAACAAGAAGCCATTATTGTCTGGAGGGTGGATTGCAAAAGAGCAAGAGTAGAGACTATTGCAGTGATCAGGGTACAAAACGGAAATTGCCTGGACCAGCGTCATGGCAATGGAACTGGGAAGTAGTATACAGATTAGAGATGCATTTTAAGGTAGAAATTTAAAGACTTAACTGTTGGATTAGATGTGGGGCAATGAGGGAAGGAGAAATCAAGAATGACTCAAGTTTCATGCAATGGATAGGTAGTAGTGTCATTCCTGAGGCAGGAATGGGGGATCAAGCAGATTTGGTGGGATAGAAATCATTTTGGATGTGTTGATTGCAGCACTTCCAAGTGCAGGTGTAGTATAGCAAGTTGGACACGTGATTCTGAAGCTAGGAAGAGAGGTGAACTGGACTTAGAGATTTGAGAAATCATCAGCGCTGTAGATGGAGTTCAGTGCCATGAGAAAGAATGAGGTCACTCAGGAGAAAGTTAAAGAAGAGGGCCCAGAACCCAGGCCTGGAGATCACCAACAGGAAGAGGCCCCGTCTAAGAGGTGAGGCCAGTGAGGGAGAAGAAACACCAGAGTGGGTTGTCAAGGGAGCCAAGAGTGAGAATGTTCAAAAAGCATCTAGTGGCCAACTCTAATTCTTCCTAGGGGCCAAGTGTTCATTAGACACAAGAAATCATTGGAGACCAAGAACAGTTTCAATGTGATGTTGGAGATGGAAGCCTAACTTGAGTGGGTTGAAGTTTGTAATATTTTTATACTAATGAAGAAAAAAGGAAAAAGTCCCAAACTTCCTCTTCAGTGGACTGGTGTAAATGGCAACTCTTTCAACATTACTTATCTTCCTTTTTTTCTCTCTCCAGTTGAGGAAAATGTGCACTCTTGTTGAGCCAGCTGTCAGTCAAAGCTGAAGCCCGCCCACGAGGAAGCTGATTAGTCTGTCACTCTTATTTGGGCAACACTGGCCTGATTGTCCTTATCTTTTCCCTTTCCCTCTACCAGTGAATTCCATTTTCTCAACTTCCTCTATTCCTTGCTCAAATCCCACCTCCAAACCTCTCAATATCCCCCAGAATGGGACATCTGTCTATCCTGTTTTCGCAAGCCTTTCGGCCATGGGAAGCCTTTTATGGCATTAGGCAAATTGTTTTCCCACCCAGGCCCCATTCTAAATTTGTGCCCACCCTAGACTCCCATTTACTTTCCCCTAGAAATATCACCAACCAAGTGATAACTAGTAGCTGTGTCTCCAGTAGAGCCAAATTCTGATATTATTAACATATCTATAAGAAGGTAATGTTTAGTTCTTTCATGGCAGTGACCAGGCCTCTGTGGCCATAGAGGGCTTACCACAGGGGAATGAAGAATTTGACCTAAGCTGGCCTTACTTAGTAAAACTTTACTGCAAGCATATAGTTTCTAAAAGAAGGCTCTTGTTCATCAGATTAATCATTGAATGAATTGTCACAAATTTACCCTAAGGAACAAGGACTTAAAGTTGCCCTCACCAGCCCCAACTAAGTTTGGCACTTTAAGGTGTTAAAGCCAAATTCCATCATTTTCCTTTGCTGGGTTATACCTCAGATTGGAATTGCTGGGTCATAGGGTAGGTGAATATTTAATTTTGGTAAATAATATTGCCAAACATTTAACCAAAGGGGTCCTACTAACTTACACTCCCACCAGCAATGTTCTGATTGCTTTACATTCTCATCAACATTTTTAATTTAAGCCATTCGGTTATGTGTTTGGTAGTATCTCACTGTGGTTTTAATTTGCATTTTCATGATGAGTTAGAACTTTTCATATACTTATTGGCCATTTGAGAAGTGCCTGCTCAAGTTGTTTTGCCCAGTTTTTACTGGTTCTTTGTCTTCTTCACTGGTTTGTAGACATTCTTAATTCCAGGCATGAGACGCTTGTCAGATATATGTATTATAAATGTTTTCTCCTGTCTATAGTTTGCTTTTTCACTTTCTTAATGTCTTTTGATGAAGAGTGGTTCTTGATTTTAAGTTCCATTTATCAATCTTTTTCTTTATGGTCCCTGCTTTTTGTGTCCTGTTTGAAAAAATCTTTGCCCACTTCCCACTGCATTTTTATTTACCTGTGCTATTTATATGCCTCTTCCCCACAACTGTGAGATCCTTGAGGATAGAGCCTGCTGTATCTTATTCTGCTCTGTAGACTCAGAATCTAGCATAGAGCTTAGAACATGGTAGGAATTCAGGAATCACTTGATTAATGAATTAATTCATGCACTGGATGGAGTAGCACCCATCATCTCTGTGCACAGAGATTTTACTAATGATGCAAACAATACTGAGAAAACCCTTGATGCGTATATATGAGGAATAATTATGTTATTAATATTCTTTTAAACTGTATGTGAGCTGCTTTCTATGTGTGAAATTTCTATGTATGCAGATGTATATGTGCCTGACACAAAAGCTGGTAAACCACTATTGAAAAGTTCATTAAATAGGATCCAGTACAATGAGGTATTACCTCACACCAGTTAGAATGGGCATCATCAGAAAATCTACAAACAATAAATGCTGGAGAGGGTGTGGAGAAAATGGAGCCCTCTTGCACTGTGGGTGGGAATGTAAATTGATACAGCCACTATGGAGAACAGTATGGAGGTTCCTTAAAAAACTAAAAATAGAACTACCATATGACCCAGCAATCCCACTACTGGGCATATACCCAGAGAAAACCATAATTCAAAAAGACACATGCACCCCAATGTTCATTGCAGCACTATTTACAATAGCCAGGTCATGGAAGCAACCTAAATGGCCATCGACAGACGAATGGATAAAGAAGATGTGGTACATATATACAATGGAATATTACTCAGTCATAAAAAGGAATGAAATTGGGTCATTTGTAGAGACGTGGATGGATCTAGGGACTGCCATACAGTGTGAAGTAAGGAAGAGAAAAAACAAATATTGTATATTAACGCATATATGTGGAACCTAGAAAAATGGTACAGATGAACTGGTTTTCAGGGCAGAAATAGAGACACAGATGTAGAGAACAAACGTATGGACACCAAGGGGGGAAAGTGGCAGGAGGGGTGGTGGTGGTGTGATGAATTGGGAGATTGGGATTGACATGTATACACTGATGTGTATAAAATGGGTGACTAATAAGAACCTGCTGTATAAAAAATAAATAAAATGAAATTCAAAAAAAAAAATAGGATCCAGTTTCCATTTTCATCGTAAAAGGGAATCATTTAGAGCCCAATTGAATTCTTGTATCTCCCCGGAGAATTGAATTTTGATAGAGGATACTAGGCGAGGGCTCACAAGCTTTATATTAAGAAGAAACGTTTATTCACCTTATAAAACACATTTACAAACTATCTCATTAGATCCTTACAACAGACCTAAAGCAAGTAAAATAAATACTAGGTTAGCTTCATCATGCAGATAAAGAGATGATAGCCCAGAGAAATTTGACTTGCTCAGAGTAACAGTGAGTGAGGTTGAAGGAAAATGATCCTGTGTCATCTAACTCTACACTCTATACAGCCCCACATATTGATGCTTGAGATATTTTTTTTCCCAGCCCAGATTCCAACTATCTGTTTGGAGGCAGTACTATGGTGCTTTGGCACCTAAGAGACCTGGGTCTCAATTTCTGCTACAAATACCTATTAGCTGTGTGAACTTGGGTAGTTCACTGAGCCTCAGTAATAATAATCTGTTCATTTGTAAAATAATGCCTACCTCACAAGTTTATTTTGAGAATTAAATAAGATGCTAGATGCCTCTCCTGGGTTAGTCCTCTCTTTTTTTTCTTCTCAGCTTAGCAAAAAGGATTTTATTTGCAGTGTCTGTTAGAACATTTCTTAATTAGGCAATTAGAATGGTTTGATGACAGAATGCCAGATATCACTCAGATTTTAGAAGGTATTTCTGTTCCCAACTCAGTGGCTTATCTAACAGCAGACACTCTCATATCAGTATCATTAAAATGGTGGTACAGATGATGGTGGCCTAGAGCTTGAAAAAAAAAGTTAGAAAGCTATTAAAGGAGCCACAGCTAAGAGCAAAATAAGGAAGGTGATAAGGAAAAAATGATGGCGGCCCTGCTTGGTGCTGTTTTTCCAAGGAGCCCAAACACTGCAGGGAGTGAAACAGATACGGGCTGGTAGTGTGTGAAAAAGTGTTGCTGCTTGGGAAAGAAAGGAGGATAAGGTATTTCTCATGGGTGCATCCTCTGACTCATTAAGGCATTTTAGCTCACGAGGCCATGCCTCCTGGTTCCTTTCTTAGGGTCACATGAAAATGAGTAGAGGGTGGGTCATCAGGAGAGGGCTCTTCAGGAAGAGGAAAGCTCCTTTGTTGCAGGCCTGTGGGCAGTGGTGTGCGGGCATGCATGCCCACACACACACACACGCCTGAGTGACTTCCACATATAAATAGCGCCTCTCTGACCCTCTGTAGGAGTCCTGAAAGAGGAGCCTCCAGTCCAAACCTGCAGGAGTTCCAGCTGAGGCCACAGGAGTTCAGACCCACTCTGAACACGGAGCCCTTCACCAGGTTCTTTCTCTCCCATCCTGATTCTTGCCACCGGATGCAGGTAAGCAGAAATGGAAGGGCCCAGTGAGGGGATGGCCAGGGAATAGTTTGGTCTAGCAGCTAAGAGCACAAACTTCCAACTCAAAGGAGATCTGGCTCAACCACTGAGCAGCTGTGTGACTTCAGGCAATTTGTTTAACATCTCTTTGCCTCAGTCCACCAACTTCAGGCCTTTACACATGCTTAGAATACTTTTCCCTTCCCAACTTTGCCCGTCTAATGCCTCGTTGTCAAGTTTTAGCTCGTACAACACTCCTTCCAGGAGGCTCTGCCTTGCTTCTGCAGATAAGGTTAGGCGATCCTCTAGTGCTCCCATCACACCTTCAGCTGGACTGTTCTGCTCCACACTTTCTCGTTGCCTGGTTAGTGTCCCCACCAGACTTTAAGTTCCTCAAGAGAAGAGTCTGTCTCTGGTTCACCAGAGTGAATAGCGCCTGGCAGATAGTGGTCACAATAAATATTTGACTGGCCAAAGAATGATAAAAGTCTGGCTAGGTGATGATTTAGGTTGAGAGACACACAGAATTTCAAGTCTCTTCCTCTATATCACTCAGCTGATCACTTAAACTGTTGCCCAGACATCTAGGTAATGATTTGTTCACCCAGCCAGGATCTCAGGTTAGAACAGGGTGCCCCTAAAGCCTGGTTGTGAGGTTTTACCTTATCCTGCTTGTCTCTTCAGATATCAAATTAGCCAAACTCTTTGCTAATCTACTGGCTCACATTTGTGGAAGCATTTCTCAGAATGTTGTGATTTCTAGGGGAACAAATCAAGAGGAGGAAGTGAAACTCCAACTGAGCCGCAGCCCTCTTAGATGCAGCAGCACAGCAAGTGCTTTTAGCAGATTCGTAGGACAGCCAGGATTCTCTGAATCCCACTCATCCCAAAGGCCGGGCTCAACTTAGTTTTCCCTCTGCACGTTCATATCTTTTAGCTTCCCTTCTAAAACTTTCCTGATAAGAAAAATTTCCAAAGAAGAGATTTTTGGGGTGGGGAGGTTCATGTCGGTGATCTATTGTCTAGACAGGCCTTACTCATAGGTGGAATGATTCAAAGGAGGCTGAAGGCATTCCTGAGCAAAAGGTTCTTCCAGCCGGTGGTCTAGAGTGTGCCTCAATGTCCAACCACACACCAGTCCTTTCTTGGACCCCTGACAAAATGTCAGTCATCTGAGAGGCATGTGGGTTAAAGTCGTTACTTGCTAACACCCTGGACACACACTGAGAGTGCGGCTCTCAATGGCAGGAAGGTCTGGGGAGGGAGGCTGCATCACAAACTGTTTGGGTGGGTTGTTACCATACATATGCCCTGCCCGCTGACAGCAGAGCAGGCTCCTCACCCTGAGGACCTGTGGAGGAAGTAGCCAGTACCATACCGGCTTGGAGGACACTTCAGGAAGAGAGGTCTCTGTGGTGGGCCCCTGGGGGAGGGGGCAGGGGAAGGGACAGACCATCCCTCCTGATTCCTGGTGCCCCCTCTTCCCTCCAGGCCCCTCGTATCCTTGGAGTAAGGGCCACTGTTCCTCCGTATCCTACCCCCAACTCCTCCAGCATGTGCCCCCCTCCACAGAGACCCGAACTTCCTTTCATCAGGGATGAGTTATTTTATTCACCGTTTGAGAGACATGGCTTACAGAGCAAATACCCTGTGGAGAGGGCACACGGTGAAGGCAACTCATCCCACTGAAATATTAGCAATTGCATCAGAAAGTTTCCTGCTGGGAGGAGCAGCTGAGATGAGTTTGGGCTCTGAGATTAGGGAAGCAAATGTCACCAAGGCCTGAGGAGGCTGGGGAATGGGGGTATGGGCGGGCAGGACAAGAGCACCCCCTTTCCTGCCCCAACCAAATGGCCTGCTCAGTGCTGTGTCTAACACGAGTCTCTATATAAGCTGAAGTCTGGACGAACAAAAAAAACCTAGGCTAATCAAGTTTGTGTTTTTTTAAATTAAGTTCATAAATTGTAAAACCGTTTTTAAAAAGGTATGATAAAATCGAAATTTAGGGTAGTCGTTCCCAGGAAGGAGTACAGGCATATGATAGAGAGGGCACACCTGGGGCTTCAATAGTATTAGTGGTAAGAATCTATTTTGTAAACCAGTTGTGTTTACATAGGTGTTGTTCAATTATTCCACACTACTAGCAAGAGCAAATGTATTATATACATTATGCTTAATTCTTTAACTCTGAAATATTTCATTATATATGTAGGTGTATGTATATATGTAAAAGAGAGATTGGGGTGGAGGCTTTGATCTATACATATTTTCTGGTTATGGGCAAAGCTGTGTGTTAGGAGAGGAGTGTCAAGAGCCTTAAGCTGAGCCAGACATGTAACTGAATTGCAAAGTGGCAGCAAACCACTTCTTGGGGATGTCATGGTACTGACTTTTTTCAGATCCACATTGACATGAGTGTACCCAAATATTACTAGTCCTATTCTAATTCATATTAAAAAAAATAAAAAGTTCACAGATCAGTGAAAATTTAAAAGGGAGAAACGGCTATAAGTAAAGGTGTGGAGGAGGCATTTTACAACCTATCTAGACATGACATTTTAATTTGTAATCAATTTTATTGATATATAATTAAAATATAATAAAATTCACCAATTTTAAGAGTAGTTTGATGAGTTTTGTCAATATATATATAGTTGTATATTCATAAGAATCTAGATATAGAACATTTTTATCACCTCAAAAAGTTTCCTTATGTACGTATATTAATCCCCTCTTCTATTCTCAGCCCCTGGCAACCACTGATCTGCTTCCTGTCACTAGTTCTGCCTTTTCTAGTGTTTATAATTTCATATAAACAGAATCATACAGTGAGTAGTCTTTTGTTTCTGGCTTCTTTCATTTAGCATGATTTTGAGATTCATCCATGTTGTTTCATGTATCAGTAGTTTATTGTTTTTTATTGCCTAGTAGTAGTACTAATTGTATGGATATACCACAGTTTATCTATTCATCTATTGATGAACATTTGAGTTATTTCTCACTTTTTTGTATTTCTCATTTTTAATTGATTTTTTATTGTGGTAAAATATATATAACTTAAAGCTTGTTATTTTAACCATATTAAAGTGTACAACTCAGTGGCATTAATTACATTCTCAATGTTGTGTAACTATATATTACCATTACCTGTTTCCAAAACTTTTTCATTACCCCCAAACAGAAACTCTGTAAACATTAAACAATAACTCCCCATTCCCCCTTCCCCTCAGTCCCTAGTAACCTCTAATCTACTTTCCGTCTCTATGAATTTGCCTATTCTGGATATTTCATATAAGTAGAATCATACATACTTGTCCTTTAGTGTCTGGCTTATTTCATTTAGCATAATGTTTTCGTGCTTCATTCATGTTGCAGCATGTAACAGAACTTCATTTTTTTAATGGCTGAATAATATTCCATTGCACATATATATATATATATTTTTCATTCATTCATCTGTTGGTGGACACTTAGGTTGTTTCCATGTTTCTAATTTTTAGTTATTATGAATAAAGCTCCTATGGACATTCAAGTACCAGTCTTTGTGTGGGCATGTGTTTTCATGTCTCTTGGATAAATATATAGAAGTGGAATTACTTGATCATTTGGTAAGTGACGGTTTAGGAAACTGCCAAGCTTATTTCCAAAGTGGCTGTACCATTTGCATTCTCACCACATATCTATGAGAGTTCTAGTTGTTCCACATCCTCACCAACACTTGGTATAGTCCAACTTTTTTTTCTTTTTTTTGCGGTACGTGGGCGTCTCACTCTTGTGGCCTCTCCCGTTGTGGAGCACAGACTCCGGATGCGCAGGCCCAGTGGCCATGGCTCACAGGCCCATCCGCTCCACAGCATGTGGGATCTTCCCAGACCGGGGCACGAACCCGTGTGCCCTGCATCAGCAGGCGGACTCTCAACCACTGCGCCACCAGGGAAGCCCCTAGTCCAACTTTTTAACTTTAACAATTCCAGTGGGTATGTAGTAGGATCTTATTTTGGTTTTAATTTTCACCCCCCTATGTTAATGATGTTGAGTGTCTTTTCATGTTCTTAGTTGTCATCCATATAGCTTTTCTTTTGTGAGATGAAATGAAGTGTCTGTTCACATCGTTTTCCCATTTTTAAAAACCATCGTTTGCCTTCTTTTTTTGTTTACATTATTTTATTTATTTGGTTGCGCTGGGTCTTAGTTGCAGCAGGCGTGCTCCTTAGTCACAGCTTGTGGGCTCCTTAGTTGCAGCATGCATGTGAGATCTAGTTCCCTGAGCAGGGATTGAACCTGGGCCCCCTGCACTGAGAGCGTGGAGTCTTAACCACTGCACCACCAGTGAAGTCCCTCAGTTGTTTGTCTACTTATGGTAGAGTCTTAAGAATTCTTTATGTATTCTAGATACAAATCCTTTGTCAGATGTATATGAGGTCACATTCAAATACATATTTACAAAATATGTATTGTGAATATTTACTCCCAGCCTGTGTTTTGTCTCTTCATTTCCTTAATGGTGTCTTTTGAAGAGCAAAATTTTAATTTTGAAGTAGTTTACTTTATCACTTTTTATAGGTTGTACTTTTTGTGTTCTATATAATAAATCTTTATCTAACCGAAAATCCCAATGATTTTCTCTGTTGTTTTCTTGTAAAATTTTTATTAGGTTTAGATCCATGGTCCATTTCGAGTTAATTATTGAATAGGGTTTGCAGTAATAGGAAAAGTATATATTTTTGTTTTGCATATGGATTGTTCCAGCATCATTTGTTGAAGAGACTCTCCTTTTCCTACTAAAATACCATCTTTTTCAAAAATCATTTGATCATATTTGCATAGCTCTATTTCTGAATTCTCTAGTCTGTTCCAGTGGTCTGCATGTCTGTATACACCATTACTTTGCTGTCTTGATTACTGTAGCTTTATAATGTCTTAACATCACATGATGTAAGCCCTCCAACTTTGGTCTTCTTTTCCACATTGTTTTGAAAAATCTAGGTCTTTTGCATTTCCATGTAAATTTAGATTCAGCTTGTCAGTTTCTACGACAGAACACTGCTAGGATTTTGACTGAGATTGCACTGATACTAAGCCTTTTGATTCATGAACATGGTATATCTCTCCATTTATTTTGGTCTTCTTTAATTTTTCTCAGTAATGTTTTATAATTTTTAGTGTACAGGTCTTACACAGATTTTGTAAAATTTATCCATAAGTATTTTCTATTTGTATGTTATTGTAAATGATGTTGTTTTTTAACTTTTATAATTTATCATTGCTTGTATATAGAAATACAATAGAATTTTTGTATATTTAAGTTTTTATTTGGTAACCTTGCTAAACTCACCTATTAACTTTTTGATAGATTCCTTACAATTTTCTACACAGATAATCATGTTACTGTGAATAATGATATTCTTACTTCTTTCTTTCATACCTGTGGCTTTTGCCACTTTTTATTTTCTTATTGCACTGGAAAGGACCTCCTGTACAATGTTGAATGGAAGTGGTAACAGCAGACATCTTTAAAATGACGTCTTTTAAAGCAAGAGGATGACACCTTTAAAATTTTGTTTTTCGGGCTTTCCTGGTGGCGCAGTGGTTGAGAATCTGCCTGCTAATGCAGGGGACACGGGTTCGAGCCCTGGTCTGGGAGGATCCCACATGCCACGGAGCAACTAGGCCTGTGAGCCACAGCTACTGAGCCTGCACATCTGGAGCCTGTGCTCCGCAACAAGAGAGGCCGCGATAGTGAGAGGCCCGTGCACCGCGATGAAGAGTGGCCCCTGCTTGCCACAACTAGAGAAAGCCCTCGCACAGAAACGAAGACCCAACACAGCAAAAATAAATAAATTAATTAATGAACTCCTACCCCCAACATCTTCAAAAAATTTTTTTTGTTGTTTTTCTGTATCAAGTAGAAATAATCACTGGCTTTAATAGAGGTACAAGCAAATTATGATGGGATGAGGAGTGTGTGTGTGTGTGTGTGTGTGTGTGCTTGTGTGTGTGTGAGTGGGAGCTGGCAGAAAATGGAGCAATTAAATTCTATCCATTGGGAAATATTTATAAGACACAGAGTTTTAAAGCAAGTTCCTTGGCTCTTCTTGATCTGACCCTAGGGGGTGACAGTGCCTCTGGTCTATTTCCCCCTCCCCACCCTATGCTCCTGGGGTTTCCCCTACCCACCAGCTCCCAGTAACAGAGCTACCATGACCCTCTTTCCATTGGTTCCAGGACAGTGTCCTCCCTCTGTGTGATGGCATGCTCACGGACCTGCTCCCAAATACTGGGGCTGAGCCTCGGGACTACAGCCCTGTTTGCTGCTGCAGCCAACACAGTGCTCCTCTTTCCTAACTGGGATGTGACCTACCTGTTGAGGGGCCTCATTGGCAGGCATGCCATGCTGGGCTCTGGGCTCTGGGGAGGAGGCCTCATGGTGAGTGTCTGGGGTTCCCTGGGTGTGAACTCCCAAAGTGCCCCTTAGACGTGGAGCAGCAAGGTGGGGGTGGGGGTAGTGTTTTGATTCCTTGAAAAAAAGCTTGAACTAACAAGCTGGCTGTGGGGTCTATAGCAGCTCCAAGGGATAGAAGACTCTAGGAAGACTGGTCAAATGTTGCTGAATTTTGGACTAGGCAGGCTTGGTGTGAACGCTGCCATTCATAGAGTCACATTAGGCTAGTCATCCAAAACTGGGTCCTGACAGTCAAAGCCAAGCCCTCTGGGAAAGGTAGGGTAATTAAGTCCATGTGAGATGTCTAACCACTCTATTTCAGCAGCCACAGGTGGCAGCTAGAGATGTAAATTACCCAATCTCTTTTTAACACTCTTCCCTCTTCCCCCAGGTTCTCACTGCAGCTACCCTCATCTCCTTGACGGGCTGGAGATATGGCTGCTTCAGTAAGAGTGGGCCCTGCCAAAGTGTAAGCACCCGATTCCACTCTTCTAATACCTAGAATGTCCCCACATTCTATTACTTTAGAGGCAGAGTGATAAAGAGACAATTTCAGTCTTGGGGTTTGAAGTCAGGTCCTGACCGTACCTCTCTAAGGGTATAAAAACCCTAAGCTTTTGGGCAAGTTTTCTGAATCTCGGATCCTTCTGTAAAATGAAAGTTAACAGGATCAAGTCCGGGGAGGGAGTGCTTAATGAACCATAAATGTCTACACACATGTGAGGAACTGTTCTTTTTTATTTTATTGATGTATAGTTTACAATGTCCTGTTAATTTCTGCTATATAGCAAAGCGATTCAGCTATACATGAACTGTTCTTATTAGTTTTAGCCTATTGAACAATATGGACACGAGTTATGTACATTGTAGTCATGTGTCATTGATAGAAAATTTCCTGGCTATTTTTCTTAATTTTTCTTGGAGCTGAAAGATTCTCCAGAGATCATCTGATGACTAGATTCTAGTCTAACCTCTCCATTTTACAGATAATGAAGCTGAGGCCCAGAATAAATTTGCACTTTATTAATTACAGCAACATCTATATATATTTGAAAAATCTCAGTACATAAATGTATAAGATATATTGCTCATTCAGTCTCAGACACATGAATTTGTGGCCTTTTTACAGTAACTCTGCATCCTGCTTTGATATCTACAGCCCACATGTTGGGAACCCTGCTGATTCAGAATTATATGTTAAAGAATTAAGTATAAACACCTACACATTTCATTCACTATCTGTTCTCAGTCATGTCTGGTTTTCCCCTAGGCAAGTGGTTCTCGACTTGAATGTGTGCATCAGAATCCCTGCAGCGTTTGTTAAAACACAGATTGCTGGGCCCCACGCCCAGAGTTTCTGACTCTGTAGGTCTGGGGTGGAGCAAGATGAGGAGGGGGGGAAATTTGCATTTCTAACAAGTTTCCAGGTGATGTGCTGTTGCTGGGACAGGGACCACATTTTTAGAACCTCTGTCCTAGGCTTATGTCAGACTAATTCATCTTGATCTTTTAACTTAGAGTCAAAACTTACTACACAGCTTTCTGCGGCCCCTCTCGAGTTCTAAACCAGTTTGACATCAGTAGGAAAACGACTCTGATTCTGTATAAAAACTATATATATATATACGCACACACACACACACACACACATATATATATATATATGTTTTATTTAAAATTTTAAAATATGTGTTTTTTGAGAAGGAGAAAAAAAAATCTGGTATCCTGAGAAAGAAACCAATCTGGAAGTTAGAATCCTGCCAAGGAAATAAACACATTGCTATCTTTTGGGAAGGAAATGAGTGGTGCACAGAACAGAAAAGTACAATGACAGAACTCGAGTTATTTCAGAGTTGACTGTAATTTCTCTCTGTCTCTGCCTCCCTCCCTCCCTCCTTTTCTTCCTTCTTTCCCCTCTTCCTCCCTTCCTTCCTTTCATGCTTGATCTGAGAAAGAGAGGAATCAGGGATGGCAGCTTGGAACTTTTGAAAAAATACAGCTTTCTTTTAAAAGGGTCAGAGGGGGGCTTGCGATAACCAATCTGACCCTTTAAGCCAGAGACTGAATGACTGCAGTCTGAGTGACAAAGTTTTTGATGCCACTCTGCTGAGAAGCTCTGAAGAGCCTGCTGAATCAGGCTGAACCTGCTGCTGGGACCAGGTGCCAGTGTTTCCCCCTTCTCCATTCCTTCTTTCCCACCCCCTCCCGGCTCTACCCAGTGACCCCTCATCAGCCAGCCCTACCTTGGCTATGTTTTAAAGGAGGTGCTGTGGGTAAGATCATTCCCATGACTGGGGAAGGCCTGAGCACCAGAGAAGTTAGATTTGTCCAGATCAGCCCACAAGTCACGACACCCTCTCAGGCTCACTGTTTCTTCTCTCCTTCTGCAGGTGCTTACTGCTCTGTTGTCAAGTGGCCTGGCTTTTCTTGGAGCCTTGATTTGCTTTATCACTTCTGGAGTAGCCCTGAAAGATGGTCCGTTTTGCATGTTCGATGTTTCGTCCTTCAATCAGACACAGGCTTGGAAACATGGTTACCCATTCAAAGACCTGCAAGGCAGGTAAATGGATGGAAACTTGGATTTGCAGTCTCTTCAGAGAAAGAAAGACACAGAAAGGGACTACAAACTCCTTTTAGTCTGCATTCTAGCATCTTGCTTCTCTGATGCTCAGAAAATTGCAAATGCAACAATAGTCACCCTCAAAAATCTAGTCCTACGACCTGAGCTGAGGGAGAACCCAGGTTTCTATCAAGGTTGCTGGGATTTTCTTACTTATTCCAACCCCTGATCTCTTTATTTTTGGGGATAGGAATTATTTGTATGACCATTCACTCTGGAATTCTGTCTGCCTGGAGCCTTCTAAAGCTGTCATTTGGCACGTGTGCTTCTTCTCTGCCCTTCTGTGCATCAGCCTCCTCCAGATTCTCCTGGTGGTCATTCATTTCATCAACAGCTTCCTGGGCCTTTTCTGCAGCCTCTGTGAGAAGTAACAGGTAATGCCCTCTTTTTAAATAATTAAATAATTAATTAATTAATTTGTTTTTGGCTGAGTTGGGTCTTCATTGCTGCACGGGCTTTCACTAGTTGTGGCGAGTGGGGGCTACTCTTCGTTGTGGTGCGCGGGCTTCTCACTGCGGTGGCTTCTCTTGGTGTGGAGCATGGGCTCTAGGCGCACGGGCTTTCAGTAGTTGTGGCTCGCGGGCTCTAGAGCGCAGCCTCAGTAGTTGTGGCACATGGGCTTAGCTGTCGCGAGGCATGTGGGATCTTCCTGGACCAGGGCTCGAACCCGTGTCCCCTGCATTGGCAGGCAGTTTCTTAACCAATGCGCCACCAAGGAAGTCCCGGTAATTCCCTCTTAAACATGAGTGTTTTCATCATGAGCTGCCTTGAATCTTTTCTGCAAGAGTGGGTATGAATTATAAACAAATTTCCCTTTTAGGTAGTCATGTAGTAATAATAACAATAATAATTCCTTGCATGTATGTTGAATGATACAATGCATTTTAAATCACATTGTAGGGACTTCCAGTGGTTAAGAATCTGCCTTCTAATGCAGGGGACAAGGGTTTGATCCCTGGTCAGGGAACTAAGATCCTACACACCGTGGAGCAACTAAGCCTGCTCTCTCTAGAACCTGTGCACCACAACTAGAGAGCCTGCGTACTGCAACTACTGACCCCTCGCACTCTGGAGCCCACGCACCACAACTAGAGAAGCCCGCGCGCTGCAACAAAGAGCCGGTGCACTGCAACAAAAAGATCCCGCGTGCCGCAACAAGACCTGATGCAGCCAAATAAATAAATAAATTTTTAAAAAATCACATTGTAAATTGCAAGATGATATATTAGTAGAAGAAATAATTATCATTATTATTGTGTAGGAACTTATAGTCCATAAAATGTCCTCCAGCCATGATCTCATTTCAGCCTCTCAAAAGCCGCATAAAATTGGCCGCATGTTACAGATGAAGTTGAGGCTCCTAGAGGATAATGGACTTGCTGCCCAAAAGCAGTCAGTTAGGTTCAGGTAAAGTCAATACCTGACCCCCTACTTTCTAAATTCAAGTTCACTAGCTTAATGGACTGAATTATGTGCTCCCAAAATTCATAGTTTGAAGCTCTAGCCCTCAACGTGACTTTGGAGATAGGACCTTTAAGAAGCTAATTTAGGTTAGATGGGGTCATGAGAGTGGGACACTAATTGAATAAGACTGGCATCCTTATGAGAAGAGGATGAGACAACAAGTACATGAAAAGATGCTTAATATCACTAATCATCAGGGAAATGCAACTCCAAACCATAATGAGATATCACCTTATACTTGTTAGAATGGCTATTATCAAAAAGGAAAGAAATAACAAATGTTGATGAGGATATGGAGAAAAAGGAACCCTTGTGCACTGTTGGTGGGAATGTAAACTGGTGCAACCAGCATGGCAAGCAGTATGGAGGTTCCTCAAAAAATTAAAAAAGAACTACCATATGATCCAGCAATTCTACTTCTGGGTATTTATTTGACGCAAACAAAAACACTAGTTCAAAAAGATATCTGCACCCTCATGTTCACTGTAGCATTATTTTCAATAACCAAGACATGGAAACAACCCAAGTGTCCACCAATGGATTAATGGATAAAGAAGATATGGTACACACACACACACACACACACACACACACACTCACACACACAATGGAATACTCTTCAGCCATAAGAAAAATGAAATCTTGCCATTTGTGACAACATGGATGGACCTAGAGGGTATTATGCTAAGTGAAATAAGTCAGAGAAAGCCAAATACCATATGATATCACTTACATGTGGAATTTAAAGCAACAACAATAGCAACAAAACCAAGTTCACAGATACAGTGACAGACTAGTGGTTGCCAGAGCTGGGGCTGGGGAGTGAGGGAAATGGGTAAAGAGAGTCAAAGGTACAAACTTCTACTTATAAAATAGTTAAGTCATGGGGATATAATGTACAACAAGGTGACTATAGTTAATAGTACTGTATTGCATATTTAAAAGTTGCTAAGAGAATAAATCTTAAAAGTCCTTACTACAAGAAAAAAAAATTTTTTTGTAACTAATGTATGGTGCCAGATGTTAATGAGACTTATTGTGGTGATCATTTTGCAATATATACAAAAATCAAATCATTATATTGTACACCTGAAATAAATCTAACGTTATATGTCAATTATACCTAAAAAATGACATTGTAGAGTGTATTTCCAGCATAAAAGCATGATTAAGTTTCAGAAAGTTTATTCACCTATATTAATAGATTTAAGGAGGAAAAAATCCTAATGATTTTCTTCATAAATGCTGAAAAGGCATTTGATAAAATTCAACATATATTCTTAATAAAACTCTTTAAGAAAATGAGAAAAGACAGGTCCTTCCTTATCATAATACAACGTATCTATCTCAACTCAAAAGTCAGCATCATGCTTAATGAAGGAATACTAGAAACAATCTCATTAAGGTTGCAAATAAGATGATGACACTCACTATTGTCACTATCATTTAATATTGTTCTTGAGGTATTAGCCCAAGTAAGTATTCAAAAGGAAATTAACAGCTATAAAATAGGAAAGAAGGTGAAGTTATCATTATATTCAGACAATATGATTACACATCTAGAGCACCCAAATAAATTATATTACAAACAATAAGAGAATTTCATACAATGTCTGGGTACAAAATAAATATACAGAATCAAAAATCTTCATGTATACAAACAACAAGCAGTTAACAGGTATGCAGATGGGGAACTCCCATTTACATTAGAAACAAAAAAGGAAAAAAAGAAAAAACCTAGTTACCAACAAAACAAGAACGTGAAATACTTATTGAAGAAAACTAAAATGTTACTAAAGGATAAAAAATAAACTTGAACAAATATAAAGGCATGCCATGAACTTGGATCATAAGATATAAATGCCCTTAAACTAATCTACAAATTTAACATGATGAATAAAATCACCAAGATTTGGTGGAAGAGGATATGGAATAAGCTGGTTTTAAAGTTCACATGAAAAATGAACAAGCTTGGACAGCCAGGAAACTTCTGAAGAAGGCAGTGAGGTGGGACTAACTCTACTAGATATTAAAAGCTAATATAAAACTACAATAATTCAAACAGTGCAGTACATTAAATGGACAAATTTATGCATCAGACTAGGGAGCTCAGAGATAGAAATAAATATTTGTGAGAATTTAGTATATGCTAAAGAGATGTGGGGAAAAAGAAAGTGGATGATATACCAGATCTGTCTCTCCATGAGAGCCCAGAGGAAAAGGCCATGTGAAGACACAGCCAGAAGGTAGCCATCTGCAAGCCAAGGAGAGAGGCCTCAGTAGAAACCAACCTTGTTGGCACCTCGATCTTGGATTTCTAGCCTCCAGAAAATAAGTTTCCATTGTTTAAGCCACACAGCAGCCAGTCTGTGGTATTTTTTTATGGCAGCCTGAGCTGACTAATCCACCAGTGTTCAGTGCCGTTCAATAAGTGGTATATACTGAGTGCCCACTGTGTGCTCAGCACTGCCATGCATGCTGTGAATTCAAAAATGACTGAGACATGGTCCTTGCCCTTGGGCCCTGCTCTGTCCTTGAAGAGCTCACGGTCATGTTAGGGAAACTCATCTACTAATAATTTGAATGTCATATGGTAGGGACCATGTTAGAGGTCAAGCCAGGATGTAATGAGGGCTTGAAGGAACCAGGAACCTCTAAGGAGAGGATCTGTGAGAGATGAAGGAAGGCATCAGTCATGTCTGAACTGATTCTTGAAATGGTTAGCCCCAGTAAAGAGGGAAGGAAGCGTTTTTCCAGCAGAGGAAATAGAAGCTCAAAAGGGGAGACACAGGATGCTGTGGGTGGAGAACTGTGATGCCACAGCTCCTTCATTGTGGAATGTGGAAAGCAGAGCACCTCCCTCTCTCCTGTTTTGGGATCTTTGTTCAGGATGCATATTGGGGGAATTTCTTCTTAGTTTTTGAAGCTGGCAGGATAATACAGCTTTCTAAAATAGGACCAGGACTGGTGCTCATAAGCAGGAAATGCATCCTAAGTTTGCTCCTTCCTGACTTTTGCCCTGGAGCAGGAGTGTGGTGAGGCTGGGGGAACTGCAGGTTGGCAATTATGGATTAAATCAGTACACCACAAACTTTTTCTGTAAAGGCCCAGATTATATATTTTTTCACTTATCTTTTTTTTTTATAGTTTTGCCTGGCCAAATAATATTTCAGACTTTGAGAGCCATATGGTCTCTTTTTGCAACTGCTCGATTCTGCCAATATTGCAGAATGCTAATCTACTGATGCTGGGTTGTGGTGAAGGAAAGTACAGCGTTTATTGCAGAGTGACAAACAAGGAGGATGGGGAGCTAGTGTTCAAAAGACTCATATTCCCCAATGGCTTTCAGTGCAACATTAGGGGTGAGGGTCCCAGGGTGTGTGATCAGCTCCTGGACATTCTTCTGATTGGTTAGTGGTGAGGTAACTGGGTGACGTTTCAGGAATCTCAATCATCGAATCTCTGGCCCCAGCCAGTCTATGGTCTAGCATTTGCAGTCAGCAGTTTCCATCTGGTGGGGGTCCTGGTTTCTGTGAAAACAATTTAAGAATGTGCATCAGCAGTGGATGAGGGCAATGTTTTCTTAGCTGGAGTCAAAGGTTATCAATCACCTTAGGTACTTTTCCCCCCAATTTTATTTGTGGTAAAATACACCTAACAAAATTTTTCATCTTAACCACTTTTAAGTGTACAGTTCAAGGGTATAAATGCAATCATAATGTTGTACAACCATCAAAAAAAAAAGAATGTGCATCAGAAGGTTACCTATATCCCTCAAGGAGAAGATAGGAATCCTGTAACTCTTTTTATGGCTGACCTATTGTTTATTATTACTTTTCTTGCTTGACTGATTTTCCATTTTTCGAAACATTAACTGCTAGAGTCTTTTCTTTAGAACTCGGAAAGACCTAGGAGACTAAAGCTTTTTTCACAAGCAAGAAGCCAAGTTCACAGGATCTGTCACTGGACCGCCCCCCACCCCTCACCCCAGGGTCCAGCTCAGTTTCACCGGCTGCTTACTAGCTGTGTATCCTTGGGCCTCTATGGGCCTCAGGTTCTGTGTCACTTTCTAAGATTGCATCGCGGTTAATAAGAGCTGACGCGTGTTTAAGTGCTTTGTAAACGGAACAGAAACAAACCAGTCTTTGCCGAAGTTATGGTCACTGCAGCTCCGCCGGTTCTGGTCCAGCATCCGGCGCGCAGGCGCGGGTAGGGCAGTGCGAGCACGACAAGAAGGGCGGGTCGCACAGCGCAGAGCGCGCAGCCGCCGCACATAGGGTCAAAGGCGGCGCTGTCGCCCTGGCGACCATTTCCCAGCTCCGTGGCGCCGCGAGCTAAGCCTTCTTCGGGAGAAATACGGGGCCAAGAAGCTTAGGCCATGTCGGTCGCCGCATCCTTCTCAATGCGCACGTCCTTCTCTGCTGTCGAAGGGTTGCCTGAGACTGAGAAGAACGCTGGGGAGTCCGAGAATACCTATATTCTGCGGCCCATTTTCCAGCAAAGGCGGGTAGCAGACGCGTTGTGGCGTGGCCGACCTGCGTGACTAATGCTTCCTGCAGGCAGAGCTTGCCTGATAGCCGGGGCGTCCCAAAGGAACCCGCGGGTGACGGGCGGGGTGGGGCGGGGCGGGCCGGGAGAGAGGGGCGGGGCTAGAGACAGAGGGGCGGGCCGGAGAGGAGGCCGGGTTTTGCGGGGGAACAGGCGATGGAGGAAGGGACAGGACCGGGGAAGTAGGGACTGGGCGGGAGAGGGTGGGGCGCTGTTCTCCTTGGGCTCCCAGCTGCAGGGGGCAGCAGAGGACCAGACCTGGGGTTGCAGGGTTAACGCGCCGGGAGGTAGTCCCTTAGACAAGCACAGTATGGATGGTTGACTCTAGGAGATCCAGAATGTGGGCACAGAGGAATTGAGATAGTCGCATGGCAGAAAACAAGCGGCTTGCATCGAATGCCATTCAGCCCTGTTTCGAGGGTTACTGTGTGCATACGTGTGCCAGAAAGCGCTTACTCTTCTTCAGGGCGCGAGACCTGTATGTGTACAGTCTTACCTAAGTAATATCTGGAGGCTTTTGGCCTGCCACCCTAATACCTTCCCAGAATTAAGGCACAACGTCTCCTGCAGAGGACAGTCAGTTAGGGCTGTAGGATCCATCACTAACTTCATTTTCACAAGATTAAAAAAAATAATTAAAAAAATGACTTTCCTAAGCCCTTTTACTGTTTTTTGAAACTAGATTCCTGAATCAAATGCTTGGCAAATACTAGAACCCAGGAACTTTAGTTATAATGTGATAAAAAAATTCATGTAGCAGTTTAATGGTGGGTAGAAGGGACATTAAAAAAATATGTTCAGTTATCTTGGTAAAAGATTCTAAATACATAGATGCCATTCACCTGTATTTCTGTTGTAAAACAGAACAAGATTAACAACAAATATATGTTATGTAGGAATAGCTCTATGAGATTATTTGTGACTCGTTTGAAGAAAACTTTTAGCATTTTACTGAGAGTGGAAAAGGCTTAAGGGAAGAGCCAGATATAGTATGTTTGTTAATAGGAAGACCACATTTTGAACAGATCAAATCCTAGAAATTTGTCCATGATTCTAAAGTTCACCTGTGAGAATAAGCAAGCAAGAGACTAAAGAGAATACTGTTAAAAAGAAATAAGGGGCCGCTAGTACTACCAAACCACATTATAAACACAAAACTTAAAACATTCTGGTAACTTGGCACATGATAGACAAATCAACTGATAGAATATACAGCCCAGGGGCTTCCCTGGTGATCCAGCGGTTAAGACTCTGCGCTCCAAATTCAGGGTGCCCGGGTTCCATCCCTGGTCAGGGAACTAGATCCCGCATGCCACAACTAAAGATCCCGTATGCAGCAACAAAGATCCCATGTGCCACAACTAAGACCCCGCACAGCCAAATTAAATAAATAAATATTAAATATATATATATATAGCCCAGATAAAGGAACCTAGTGTTGTAATATGTAATAAATACAACTAAAATGCTAATAGTATTGTTAGGGTGGTGAAATGAGGGGAGAATTTTTTCTCTGTCTTCATTTATTCAGTAATTAATTTCTTCAAAAAATATTGTCTACTATGTGCTGGATAGTGTTCTAGCAATGGGGATATAACAGTGAACAAAACATAAAAATCTCTGCTCTTTGGAGCTTGTGTTCTAGCTGGGTAGAAGGACAACAAACAAGATAAATGCCTAAGTGAACCATATAGTGTATCAGATAGTAATAAGTACCGGGAAGGGAGATATAAAGTGGTAGGAGGGTGGTTTGAAGTTTTAGAGAGGGTGGCTAGGGAAAGTGACTTTTGAATAAAGACTTGAAAGAAAGGAAGGAGCTATGCATATAAGGAGAGGAATTGAATTTCAGGCAGAGGTTAACAGCAACTGCAGAAGCACTGAGGTTTCCATGCCTGGTGTGGTCAAAGAACATAGGGAAGGCCAGTGTGGCCTGAGTGGAGAGAACTAGGGGCAAAGTAGTAGAAAACAAAGTCAATGAGTTTGGTAGGGTAGATCATATGGGACCTTGCAAGTAACAGAATGTTGCTTTTACTCTGAGTGAGGTGGGAAATATATGGGGTATTTTGAACGGAGGAGTGTCATGATCTGACACGTATTTAATAGCACCAGTCTAGTTGCTATGTTGAGAACAGGATTTAGGGACAAAGGCAGAGACAGAGAGACTTGTTAGGAGGCCATTGTAATCCAGGAAAGAAGTAGTGGTAGCTTGGAGCAAGGTGGTGGTAGTGGGGTGGTGAGTGTGATTGAATTTTAGATTATTTTGAAGGTAGAACTGATAAGATTTGCTCATGAATGGGATGAGGGCTGTGAGAGAGAAAGACAACCAAACTGACACCAGGGTTTTTGGCTTGAGAGGTTGGAAGAATGGAGTTACCATTGACTGAGGTGAGGACCTTGTTTTGGGGAGAGGAGATGATCAGAAGCTCAGTGTTGGATGTATTAAATTTAAGTTGCCTACTAGACATCTGGATGGAATATGGGTGGGAATATGTGGTCTGAAGTTCAAGGGAGAGGCTGGAGATACAGGTTTGCACTATGACTTGTTTTCTTAATTTGTTTTTATTACTTTTATAATAAAAATATGAAAAAGAAGGAATAAATGGTTGTCATGACAAAAAACTGGGAGAGGTTAAGCTGCGAAGGTAAATTAGGGTTTTGGAATTACCAACTGGATGTTTCAAACTGTTTCATTTAGGTTCAGACCCTCTGTGGTTAGAGACTGTATCCATGCTGTGCTCAAGGAGGAACTGGCAAATGCTGAATACTCTCCAGAAGAAATGCCTCAGCTCACAAAACGTTTATCAGAAAATATTAAAGATAAATTAAAAGGTAATGGTGGTAATTGGAAATGACTTGTTCCCTTCAAACATCCAATTTTACTCATTTGCCTCCTTCTTTATTTTTAAATAAGGGGCATAACTGTGGATTCTATTAAACACACATTTTTCTTCACTGTCTAGTCATCTCAAGTATTTGGTAACTTTTACTCATGTAGGTTTCTGTAGATGGTGGGAAAGAGCAAAGGTGTGAAATACCTAGTTGTACCGAACTACTATCCAAGAATTCCCAGTATGCAGAAAGACCAGAAAATACAGGGGCTCCTTTCCCTCATAATTTTTGGTTGTTTTTTCTACCAAGATATCAAGTCCTCAGCCTCCCATCAGTACCCTCACAGTCTGACCTCAGTGCATCTCTCCTGCCAAATCCTTAACTACTTGCCCTACTCAGCACTCCACTCCTGCTTCACTCTACATCTGCAGAGTAGATCTTGTGCTTTTCCTCCCTGTTCTTTGTCTCTCTACCTCTCTCAGTCTCTTTTGTTAATAGTGTTATACAATCTGAAAAGTCCTTTCTATCTACCCTTTAAAATTTTAATTTAATTTAATTTTTCTGGCTGCACCACGCGGCTTGCAGGATCTCAGTTCCCCAACCAGGGATTGAACCTGGGCCACGTCAGTGAAAGCCCAAAATCCTAACCACTAGGCCACCAGGGAACTCCCTATTTACTCTTTTTTAAAGATTTTTTTTGGAGGGAAGAAATGTCTTTGTAATCATAATACATTTTCATTGTAATAAACCTGGACAATACACATAAAGTGTTTTTCTGTTTGGTTTTTTTTTTTGCGGTACGCGGGCCTCTCCCTGTTGTGGCTTCTCCCGTTGCGGAGCACAGGCTCCGGATGCGCAGGCTCAGTGGCCGTGGCTCACGGGCCTAGCTGCTCCGGGGCATGTGGGATCTTCCTGGACCTGGGCACAAACCCGTGTCCCTGTGTCCCCTGCATCAGCAGGCAGACTCTCAACCACTGCGCCACCAGAGAAGCCCATAAAGTGTTTTTTTTAATGATATAAAAGTCTGTTGTCCATGGTAGTTACTATTTAATACTTTGATGTATTTTTATTAATATGTTTTAATTTTTAGAAATAAAAAATATAGAAAAATACTAAGAATAAAATAGCAATTCTCTTTCCATCATCCAAATTAACTGTTAGTATATTAGCATTTTTGTTTTCATATTTTTAGTGAAATTCACTATTAAATTATTGTAAAAAAATACATGCTTGTTATAAAAAAATAAAGTGTAGAAAAATAATTAAAATTAGAAAAATCACTCCTAATGCCCCCACCCAAGAAGAATCATTAATATTACATGGCCATCATACCAGTCCTCTTTTCTATGTATATATACAGATAAATACTTTAAAAACAATGGTATACTATAGACTGTTTCCCATAGTGTTACAGCATTCATTCTATATTTAAATGGAATGATTGCCCACTATTTAGTCCTTTCACCATGGTATTTCCATTGCTGAGTTCTTTTTTCTGGTTCAATTCTTACCTGATGAGATTTTATTGTAAGTTTTTTCAGGAAGGGCTCAGAAATGCTGTATTCCCTGGATTCTTTCCTGTTTGAGAATGCCTTTAAACGAGAATATATTTTGGATGAATATAATATTTTGAGTTAATTATTTTTTGAGAATTTTATGGATGTTGCTTCACTGTCTTCTTGCATTGAATGTTACTGTGGAGAAATCTGAGGTCAGTCTGACATTCTCTGCAGAAAGAATCCTGTCCCTAACCTTGATGCTCAGTAGTTTTTCTAGGGTATGGCTTGGTATTGAGCATTTTATGTCCGTTAATCTGCAGATTTTATTTTTTCCATATCAAGGAAATTTTCTTGTATCTCTGAGTACATTTCCGGTTCCATTTGTTAGATTATCTACCTTAGGACACCAAATATTGATGCGTTGAATCATCTCTGTCTTCCACATCTATTATCTTTGCTGTAATCTCTTCCTTTTTCTTTGACATATACTTGTGATCACCTTGTCAGTATTTGTTTTCATTTGTGTCTGTCTTGTCTCTTGCCATTTTAAAAAAAAAATATTTATTTATTTTTTGGCTGCATTGGGTCTTCGTTGCTGTGCGTGGGTTTTTCTCTAGTTGCAGTGAGAGGGGGCTGCTCTTCGTTGTGGTGCGTGGGCCTCTCATTGTGATGGCTTCTCTTGTTGCGGAGCACGGGCTCTAGGCGTGCGGGCTTCAGTAGTTGTGGCTCGCGAGGTCTAGAGCACAGGCTCAGTAATTGTGTCGCACGGGCTTAGTTGCTCCGTGGCATGTGGGAACTTCCGGGACTAGGTCTCGAACCCATTCCCCTGCTTTGGCAGGCAGATTCTTAACCACTGCGCCACCAGGGAAGCCCCTCTCTTGCCATTTTTAATTGATTAGCTCTGCACTAATATCATGTGAGTATTCAGTTCGTTTCCTAGGCCTATAATCTCCCCTTTCATCTTTCTGTTGTTTTGTAATCTGATTGAGTTCTTATTTTACTGAATTTGTGGGCTTATGTTTTTTTTTTTTAATAAATTTATTTATTTATATTTTATTTTTGGCTGCGTTGGGTCTTTGCCGCTGCGTGCAGGCTTCCTCTAGTTGTGGCGAGCAGGAGCTACTCTTTTTTTTTTTTTTAAATTATTTATTTATATTTTATTTTTGGCTGCGTTGGGTCTTTGTTTCTGTGCGAGGGCTTTCTCCAGTTGCGGCGAGCGGGGGCCACTCTTCATCGCGGTGCGCGGGCCTCTCACTATCGTGGCCTCTCTTGTTGCGGAGCACAGGCTCCAGACGCGCAGGCTCAGTACTTGTGGCTCACGGACCTAGTTGCTCCGCAGCATGTGGGATCTTCCCAGACCAGGGCTCGAACCCGCGTCCCCTGCATTGGCAGGCAGATTCTCAACCACTGCGCCACCAGGGAAGCCCGGGCTTATGTTTTTCTATATTATGAATCAGTTGTGAGGAATTTCTCTTTGTTCCTTGATTTATATTATCTCCTAGGTTGAGTTTTTTGGTCTTTTAAGCAGTACGTTTCTTTTCTTGTTATTCTTTGGTTTGTTTTTGCTGTTGTACCTTTGCATATTGCCATTCAGCTTCTTTTAATTTTGTTCTGATGTGGTGTGGGTGAATTTTTTTTTTTTTTACTCTCCTCCCACTGTATCTAAGACTATTTTATTTTATTAATTTTTTTTATTGAAGTGTAATTGATTTACAATGTTGTGGCAATCTCTGCAGTACAGCAAAGTGACTCAGTTATACACATAGAGACATACTTTTTTTCATATTCTTTTCCACTATGGTTTATCACAGGATATTGAATATAGTTCCCTGTGCTATACAGTAGGACCTTGTTGTTTACCCATTCTATATATAATAGTTTGCATCTACCAGCCCCAGATTCCCAGTCCATCCCTCTCCCTCCCTCCCTCCCCCTTGGCAACCACAAGTCTGTCCTCTATGTCTATGAGTCTCTTTCTGTTTTGTAGATAGGTTCATTTGTGCCATATTTTAGATTCCACGTATAAGTGATATTATATGGTATTTCCCTTTCTCTTTCTGACTTACTTCACTTAGTATGATAAATTCTAGTTGCATCCATGTTGCTGTAAATGGCATTATTTCATTCTTTTTTATGGCTGAGTAGTATTCCATTGTATATATGTACCACATCTTCTTTATACATTCATCTGTTGATGGACATTTAGGTTGTTTCCCTGTTTTGGCTATTGTGAACAGTGCTGCTATGAACATGGGGTGCATGTATCTTTTTGACTTATAGTTTTGTCCAGATATATTCCCAGGGGTGGGGTTGCTGGATCATATGGTAATTCTATTTTTAGTTTTCTGAGGAACCTCCATACTGTTTTCCATAGTGGCTGCACCAACTTACATTCCCACCAATAGTGCAGGAGGGTTCTCCTTTCTCCACACCCTCTCCAACATTTGTTATTTGTAGACTTTTTAATCATGGCCATTCTGATGGGTGTGAGGTGGTACCCCATTGTAGCTTTGACTTGCATTTCTCTAATAATTAGTGACGTTGAACATCTTTTCATGTGCCTACTGGCCATCTGTATGTCTGTCTGTATTAAGGTGTTCTGCCCATTTTTCAATTGGGTTGTTTGTTTTTTTGTTGTTGAGCTGTATGAGCTGTTTGTATATTTTGGAGATTAAGCCCTAGTCTGTCACATCATTTGCAAATATTTTCTCCCATTCCGTATGTTTCTTTTTGTTTTTTTTATGGTTTCCTTTGCTATGCAAGAGCATGTAAGTTTGATTAGCTCCCATTTGTTTATTTTTGTTTTTATTTCTATTGCCTTGGGAGACTGACCTAAGAAAGCATTGGTATGATTTTTGTCGGAGAATGTTTTGCCTATGCTGTCTTCTAGGAGTTTTATGGTGTCTAAGACTATTTTATTTTTCCCTCAGAACTGTGTTTTAAGTGATGGGCATTTAATATTCTAGCCGCATTTCTAAAGCATGGGTATGAGAAAAGGAGGAAGAGGAATGGGTAGAGAAAGGAGGAAGCTCAGCTGAGCTGTGCGCACTGTTTTTTAAAAATAACTTGGGCTCTGTCTCCTTCTGAGATTTTATTAAGTATACTGCATTAGGGTTCATGTCCCACAATGGAAGGGTTCCTATAAGTGTTCAGATTGTTTGCCTAATTTACTGTATAATCCTGGAGCTTTTACTTTCATCAAAAAGAGTTGGCTCTGGGACTTCCCTGGTGGTACAGTGGTTAGGAATCTGCCTGCCAATGCAGGGGACACGGGTTCGAGCCCTGGTCTGGGAAGTTCCCACATGCCACAGAGCAACTAAGCCTGTGCACCACAACTACTGATCCTGCGCTCTAGAGCCCGCGAGCCACAACTACTGAAGCCCACGCGCGTAGAGCCTGTGCTCTGCAACAAGAGAAGCCACCGCAATGAGAAATCCGCACACCACAACAAAGAGTAGCCCCCACTCACCACAACTAGAGAAATGCCGTGCACAGCAACGAAGACCCAACACAGCCAAAAATAAATAAATAAAATAAATATATTTATATATAAATAAGTTAAGCTAAATTAAGAGAAAGATTATTTTTTTAAAAAAGGGGGTTGGCTCTGTCTCAACTTTGCCTGTTTCACTTTTTTCTTCTTCACTGTTTCCCCTATTCCTTGGTCAGAAAGGAGGGAAGATAAAGATGCCTATTCAGTTTTCTGTCCCCCAGGTTTGTTGTTGGGGAGAATTTTCAGGATTTTGCTGTTTCAGCAGTATAGTTTTGGGGGAAGCAGCTGAGTTGTCCTAGGCCATACCAGTATTCTCCAGAATCTTATGGTTTATTTTCTATCTTACTGAACAGCTTGCAGTTTTCTAAAGATCCCATGCTCTATGTCTTTGCATATGCTATCCCCCTCCATAGAATGGAGAAACATTGTCCATCTGGTAAATTCTCACTCGTCTTTCAGGACTCAGCTCACTTATCGCACCCTCCAAGAAGTCTTTTCTGGTCATCCTTTCCCTGTTGCCCAGTCAAAGGGAGGAGCCATCCAGTTCTGTGCTCCTAATGTACCTTATACATGCCTCTCTTTGAATTATTACTACGTTGCATTTTCATTTTATTTTCCATGTTTGCCTTCCCAACTACTATGAGTTCTTTAAGGCAAGAAGAGCATCTTATTTATCTCTGTATCTTGAGGGCCTAGCTCATTTCCTGACTTAGAGTAGGGGAGAAAGGAAGGAAGCTAAGACCTACTGAGAGTCTACTATGGAAGAGAAATGGGTAGAGACCGGAGGGAGCTTGTCTCTACCCACTTCCTCACAACACACCCAGGAGGAAGGTAGTGATATTCCCATTTAACAGTTGAGGGAGATTTAAACTAAAACATTAAATAACTCGTCTAAAGTTACACACTTACTAAGCTTATGGTTAGAATTTGTCCTTAAGTCTGACTCCTAAGCTTATAATCATACTCAGTAAGGGCTTGTAGACTGAATGCTTATGTTCATTTCTAGGCAAATTTGCCTTCGGTAAGTAATTTTACCATATATTTGCTTATAGATAACTTTCTTATTTTTTCTTTCCAGAAATGGGATTTGACCGATATAAAATGGTGGTGCAAGTAGTGATTGGAGAACAAAGAGGGGAAGGTGTATTGTGAGTAGTTGGCTTTTCCTTCTTGTTTTTATTTTTATATATTTCTTATTGGGTGTTCATCTTCTCGACAATCCAGTAAGATAGTGTCTTTGCAAGAGTGAGAGGAATGGACGGTATAATAAAATGCAGCTGTGAACTGAAGAGATCCTGGTACTGAGCAGTGAGGTTGACAGTCTGGGTGAACTCCATGGGGTAACTCACTTCTCATAGTATCTGTAGGCTAGTACGTCTTTCAGGGTTTATGTATATATGCTCCCAAAGAGAGTGTAGGATTATGTATATATGTTTCCTCCCATATTCCTTGTTGCCTGGTTTTTGGTCCTTCCATTCTCCTAAATTAATATCTTTAAAGTTGTCTGAGTGACAATTTTCATAGCTATTGTTATTGGCCTGGGCTTCTGTTTTTTAAAATTCACTCTGGTTTTTTTGGCCCTGATGTCACTTGTGTAACTTGTTTCTCTTCTGTTTTTCTAACTGATTATTCTCTCCTAAACTGGTTCCTCTTTCTCCCCTACATCCCCAGCTGTGAGCTTTCTTCAAGACTCAGTTCTTATTCTTCTGCTCTTCTGTGTGCTTTTTCAATGAGCTCATTCATTCTCATTACCTCAAACCATCATTCCTGTATTGGCAAGTTCGAAATCTGTATTTCCTGTCTTTTCCTGTGCCCAAGTGTTAATCTCCTGTTTCCCTTTGTAAACAGTGCCTAGTCCAGTATTTTATAAGAAAGTATGAAAATATTTGCTGGATGAATTAAAAAAATACCTTGTAGATACTATCACTGAGAATTTTCACTATAGAATGTTAGCTTGGGAGGAGAATGCAGATTCTTTCTGGTGTCCGGTCCCCTTATTTTATGATGACGCTTATGAGGTTCAGCATGATTTGCCCAAAATTCTAGATCTGGCTGGCGTCAGGCTCACTAATAGAGCCCAGGCTTCTGACTCCTCGCACAGTACTCTTCACCGTGGTGCCCTCTACCATTCGGTCAAAAGGCTTCAGTAGAGTTCTTCACCACAGAGAAACTAAGAAATACCTTACTATTCTGTCATCTCAGAGTCAACGTGTTCAAATAGAGTTGCATATTTCTTTCCCCTTCCTCTCCTCAAATAAGCCTCTCATTTTCATTTCTCTGCCTCCTGCCTTATTACCAAGATTCCATTGACTCAGGCTTAAAAGTGTGGAACTCTCTTTTATCTTATGTAGCCATTACTCTCTCTCATTGCACGCACTGTAACCTGGATGCCAGGGTTGCTTAGCAGCCCCTTATCAGCACTTCCAGACTCTGATCTCTCTCCTCTGCAATTCACACAGCAGACCAGTCTCCCAGAAGTACACCCTCACCTCCTTTTCATAAACTCTATAGAGTTTATTTCAAATCCTGTATAGTATAAAGTCCTCAAACTTGTCCTGACTGACTTTGTTCAATGTGATCAGGTTAAACTCTAAAGCATGGCATATAAGGCCTTCCCCACTTCCTTTTAAAACTTTTATCATCTAAAATTTTAGGCATATGAAAAAGTACATGGACTAAGGAACTCCCATATGTCTATTACTTATCTTTAAGGTTATTAACACACACCCATGTTGTTTCATTTATACCTCCATCTACTCTCCCTGACCCCACCAGATTATCTTGAAGCAAGTTCTAGTCATCATATCATTTAATCTGTAAGTACAACAGTATATATCTCTAAAATATAAGGGCCCTTTTCAACATAATAAAATATCACATGTAAATATTGAAAATCCTTAATATTATAAAACATTCAGTTAGCTTTTAATTATTCCCAGTTGTCTCATATATACATGTGCATGTATGTATATGTGTGTTTTTGTGCGTGTGTATGTGTATTTTTTTTAGTTTGTTCAGGTCAGGATACAGACAAAGTCCATGCATTGCATTTGGTTGATACGTCTCCTAAATTTCTTTTAGTCTGTCATTTTGCTTCTTCTCCCTCACCCCCCTTTTTTTTAACCTTGCCATTTATTTGTTGAGGAAATTGGGTTGTTTGTCTTGTAGAGTTTCCTACATTCTGGTATTTGAGGATTGTATCCCCATGGTATTGTTTAGTACGTCTTCTAGCTCCTGTATTTCTTGTAAATAAGTAGTTAGATCTAGTCTTTTTTTTTTGTGGTACGCGGGCCTCTCACTGTTGTGGCCTCTCCCGTTGCGGAGCACAGGCTCCGGACGCGCAGGCTCAGCAGCCATGGCTCACGGGCCCAGCCGCTCCACGGCATGTGGGATCTTCCCGGACCGGGGCACGAACCCGTGTTCCCTGCATCGGCAGGCAGACTCTCAACCACTGTGCCACCAGGGAAGCCCAGATCTAGTCTTAATCAGTGATAGGTTTGAGTTTTGGGCAAGAATAGTACATAGGTGTTTAGTATATATTCTATTGCATCTTATCAGGAGGCACAAAAATGTCTGGCTCTTCGTATATTTATTGTTAAGATTGATCATGGAGTTCAGATGTTGTTGGATAGATCCATCTGTTATAAAGTTCCCTATCAGCTTTACCATTAATGATTTTAGCATCTGTCCTAGATCCATTATTCATCACAGGTTACAAGATAGTGATCTTCTATCATTGTTCTTTATTTATAAGCTGGAATTCTTCTATTAAGAATGACTTTTTTGGGCTTTCCTGGTGGCACAGTGGTTGAGAGTCCGCTTGACGATGCAGGGGACGCGGGTTTGTGCCCCGGTCCAGGAAGATCCCACATGCCGTGGAGCGGCTGGGCCCATGAGCCATGGCCGCTGAGCCTGCACGTCCGGAGCCTGTGCTCCGCAACGGGAGAGGCCACAGCAGTGAGAGGCCCGCATACCGCAAAAAAAAAAAAAAGAATGACTTTTTTTTTTTCATTTGTTTCATTACAATGAGATACAGTTTGTATAGGAAAGGAGGGATAAATTTACCTATTTTCAGAGTAATGAATTGGTTCCCTAGCATCCTCCCAAGGTTACCAATGAGTTTTTTTTCTATCCATGAACCCATGGTTTTAAATATATGTGATGTGTTTAAATCAATTGCAGTTAGTATCTTCACTGAAGCTCAAATTGTCCCATCTTTGGCCATTGGTAGCTTCTTCTTCCCCTCCCCTCCCCTCCCTTCCCTTTCCTTCCTTCCCTTCCTTCATTCCTTGTTTTGTTTTGTTTTTGAAAAAACACAGACGCTTTATTTCTCTTCTCAAAACACACCAGACAGGAGTCCCAGCCTGGTGAGGTGCTTCCCTGCTGTCAAGGATATAGGCCCTCCTGTTTTGCTCTGCTGTATCCTCATCTGCATGGTTGAAGATGGCTCAATACTACATTTATTTACATTCCTTAAGGGAAAGAGATAGAAGGAAAGCATATATGCCTTTCCATTTTCAGTACTTTAAAGATGTGATTACATTGTCTTCTGATTTCAGTTGGTTCTGTTGAGAAATCAGCTCTAAGTCTTATTATTGTTCCTTTGGAGGTGATGTGTCTTTTTTCCTAGCCACTTTAAAATGTTTTTCTCATTGCCTTTTGACTATGAAGATATATGGTTTTCTTTGTACTTATTCTACTTGGGGTTCTCAGGGCATTTTGAATTTGTGGGCTCTTGAATCTGTTTTGTATCAGATTGGGAAAAGTCTTAACCATTATCTTTGTTTCTTTTTTTTAAATAAATCTTTTAGAATAATTTAGATTTACAGAAAAGTTGCAGAGATAGGACAGAGAGTTCTTAACTACTTCACATCCATTTTCTTCTATTATTAACATCTTCTATTAGTATGGTACATTTGTCACAATTAATGAACCAATATTGATGCATTATTATTAACTAAAGTTCATACTTTATTTGGATTTCTTTAGTTTTCGCCTAATGTCCCTTTTCTGTTCTAGGATCCTATCTAGGATACCACATTTCATGTCTCTTTAGTCTTCTCTTGCCTATGACAGTTTCTCAGACATTCCTTGGTTTTGATGACCTTGACAGTTTTGAGAAGTACTGGTTAGGTATTTTGTAGAATATGCCTCAAATGGGATTTGTCTGCTCATGATTAGTTTGGGATTATAGGTTTTCGGGAGGAAGATCACAGAGGTAAAGTGCTGTTCTCATTATATCATTCATTTCAGGGTACATACTGTCAACATTACATATTACTGTTGATGTTAACCTTGATCCCTGCCTGAGTAGTATTTGTCAGGTTTTTCACTCTAAAGTTACTCTTTCTTCCCCTTTCCATTCTGTACTTTTTACAAAGAAATCACTATGTGCAGCCCACACTTAAGGAGCAAGGAGTTATGCTCCACCTCCTTGAGGGCAGAGTGTCTACATAAATTACTTGGAAATTTTCAGCATAAGAGATTTGTCTGTTCTCTCTCATTTATTTATTTATTCAGTCATTTATTTATTTCAGTATGGACTATAGATTTTTATAATTTGGATTATAATCCAGTACTACTTTATTTTGTTGCTCAAATTGTTCCAGCTTTGGCCATTGAGAGCTCTTTCAGCTGACTCCTGGGTTCCTTTCACATACCCTACTATTGTGGGTTTTTTGAGCACAACCTTATTTACTGGCACTATAAGATGCCCCACCTTATCCATTCCCTGCCCCAGCCCTAGAATCAGCCATTTCTCTAAGGAGCCTTGGTTCATTGTATGGCAGAATGCATTAGAAACTAAGATCTGGGTGCTATATATATGGCTATTATCTTTTAAAATATTACCTGTGCTTCATTTGTTCTCTGCTATCCTTTATGGACTCCAATAACAAGTATTTAGATCTTTTTACTGTAATTTATGATGCTCTTTTCTGAATTTTTGTTTTTTCTCTCTGTGCTTCAGTTTGGATATTTTTCTATTGACCTGTCCTTCAGTTCACTAATCCTCTTTTCATTGTGTCTAATCTGCTATTAAACCCACCAACTGAATTCCTAATTTGTTATTATATTTTTCAGGTCTAGAATTCCCATTTAATTCTTTTTTCATAAAAATTGTTTTTTGTATATTCTAATTGTATAGTGAAATTCTTTATTTTTTATCTATGTTCTCCATCCTCCCTCTCTCCTCCTTTTTTGCATTTTGGTCATAACAGTGCTTACGCTAGTATCTGGATCACATGTGAGTCTGTTTCCTTTGATTATTTTTTTGTCTTGTTAATCTTTCATATGGCTCTGTCTCTTGGCATGCCTAGTTTGAGTCCTGGACATTGTGTTAAAAAAAAAAACTGTAAAACTTCCAGATAATATTATTTTCCTCCAGAGAAGTTTAACCCTTTCCTTTGTAATTCAGGTAGATATTCTACCGTAATCCAATCAGATACTGAGCTGAGTTGAGGTTGGGTTGCTGATTTGATAAGTCTCTCTCTATCTTTAGCTCACCCTTCTGTCTTGAACATAGCCCTTCAGATCTTTCAACGAAGAACCTGGAGTGTTCATTGGAACCCCAGCCTCAGCAGGTACTGACTTTTAGTCCTTTCCTCAGGATTATTCTTCATTTCAGAGGCTTCTTTTTTAATGAATTAGTTTCTTTAAAAAGCAAAAATATATTATTTTACAGTTCTGGAGATCATAAATTCAGAATGGGTTTTGTGGAGCTAAAATCAAGGTGTTGGCAGGACTGTATTCCTTCTGGAGGCTCTGGGGGAGAGTCCATTCCCTTGCCTGTTCCATCTTCCAGAGGCTACCTGCATTCCTCAGCTCATAAACCCTTCCTCCATCTTCAAAGCCAACAGCATTGCATCTTCAGGTATCTCTTGATTCTGACCTTCCTGCCTCCCTCTTTCTTTTATAAGGACCCTTGTGATTACATTGAGCCCACCTGGATAATCTCCCCATCTGAAGATCCTTAGTTACACATCTGTAAAACCATTTTTGCCATGTAATATAACATATTCACAGGTTCTGGGGTTTAGGACATAGACATATTTGGTGGGGGGCCATTATTTTGCCTACCACATATAGCTTTTTAGGTTCCTGCTTATGCAGTTTCAGAATTCAGCACATGTCTTGAGAGGAAACCTACTATGTGACCGGCTCAGTTCTACTCTCTCCTTTTTCACACAGATCTTGGTCCCTCAAGCCTCCAATTTTATCCCTCCCGGCCCTGCAAGACTGCCAGCAGTCCTGCTGGTTTCTTTTTCCCTTAGTAATTGGTCCTGTACCTGGGCAAAGCCCAGGCTCTCAGCCTCTAGCTCTGTGCCCAGAGCTGGCAAATGCCCCAGGGAGAACTTTGCTGCAGAATATCAACTTACCTCATGTGGTTCACCTTTCTCTGGAATTTTGGCTCCCCTAGTCCAATTTGCTTCAGCAGCTCTCTGATTCATTTTATTCGGTTTTTCTAATTGACTTGGTGGGAGCATTGGCCTGCTACAAAGTGTTCCATCATATTTCTTCTAAGTCTTTTGACATAACTTTATCAATATAAATATATATACACATATGTGTAAAAATATATATATATACATAAATGTGTGTATGTATATTTTTAAATATAACATTCTTTTAAAAAATTTATTTATTTATTTGGTTCACTGGGTCTCATTCGTGGCAGGTGGCCTCCTTAGTTGTGGCGTGCGAACTCTTAGTTGCAGCATGCATGTGGGATCTAGTTCCCTGACCAGGGATCGAACCCAGGCCCCCTGCATTGGGAGTGCAGAGTCTTAACCACTGCACCACGAGGGAAGTCCCTATAAAATTCTTTTTGATATAGCACAGGGTTTTGATATGACCCAAGTGTCCCAGGTTTATCTTGTACATTTACAGCCGTGGCCCTAGAATTGGCCATTTCTCCAAGGAGCTCTGGTTCCTTTTATTGGGAAATTGTGTAAAGAGACCACAATTTGAAAGCAAAGACTTTGTTTTATGCATCTTTGTATCATTTGCACCTAGCACTTTGCTCGTATATAATACTCAACAAATACTTATTAAATACATTTTTATATTCATGCTTTCACTTGGTTCTGCTCAGCTTAAGCGCTACTTCCTTCATGAAATCTTCTTTGGCTTTTTCTCCTCTCTAAATTCTCTAAAATTCTTTAGCACCTCTACAGATTTAATTCAACGATTGTGCATCTTGGACTTGAAGGCTTGATCTAGATAGACATTATAATCCCTTTTAATCCTAATAACCTATAAATCAGCACCAACAATACATTATCTTATTCTTTTGGTGTGTATTAATTTTTTTTCACCTATTTAAGCTGAGAATTGTTTGAGGACAAACCGGATTTTATTCTTTCTGGACAAATGGTACTTGCTAAATAAATACTTGTTGATTGATCAGTTAAGTGATTAATTTTATTTCATACTGTTACAGTTTGGAAATAGGTGGAACTTTTTTGACTTAAGAATGTGTGAAATATTAGGCTGGGGGGAGCTCTTCTATGTAAAACTGAAAAAAAAGTCTTTTAAAATTAAACCAATATAGCATGGTGTATATATAACTTTCTCTACAGACTTGAGGCTGAACCACCTAGATTCAAAGCCAAGCTTTGTCACTTACTATATAAATGACCTTTGACAAGTTTACTTAGTTTCTCCGACTCTCAGTTTCCATGTTTATTAAATGGATATAATAATAATGCCTTTCTCATAGGATTGAGTTAATACATGTAAAGCTCTTAGACCAGTGGGGCACAAAGTGCTCAATAAATGTTAATGATGAATCATATACATACATTTAATTAAAAAAATTTAAAATTACTTTTTAAACTTAACATTACATTGTGAACATCTTTTCATGTTCTTAAAGTTTTTTTTTTTGTAAAAAATACCTGTAATGGCTGCATAGAATTTCATTGCTAAGAAATACCTTAATTTTGTTTACCAATCCAATACTTCTGGGTATTTAAGTTGTTTCCACTTTTAAATAGGCTTTTATTTTTACTGACATTTTTTCTTATCCAAGAACTGGGGAGAGGAGAATGGCTAATTTTAGAACTTAGAGGTAGTATAGCATCCTCTAGAGATAATACTGGATTTAGAATTAGTTAGAAGATTGAATTCTAGTTCAGAGTTTGCCCCTTTCTTTTCTGTGACTCTATAAAATGATCAGGTTGGACTAAATAATTTGTTGGGTCCTTTCTAGACCTACCTTCTCATATTATTGTGCAGGAATTGAGCCCATTTTAGCCATAAGTCTTAGGTATTATTTCCTCTAAAAGTCATACATAGATATCTTACCTGAAATAATCTATAACAGAGCTTCCCACCCAGACTACCAGTGACTTAGGCCATCAGGCAGCTATCAGAGTCTGAGGCTGCTAGACCCCTGGGCTGGTCACCTCCAGCTGCAAGCAGCCTTATCTATGACTCCAGTCCCTTCTAGTTTACCCAGTATACTCTGCTGTACAAATATGATTTTCTGTATGTCATCTCATTCTGTGAAAAGGTTTGGAAGCACTGATGTATAAGAATGTATCAAGGAAAACTTTTGCTTGTGGCAGATATATATAGTTCAGATCCTTGTTATATTGTTGATAATACTCTATTCTTTGACGTTTTAGCATGGCTACTCGCTGTTTCTGGGATGCTGACGCTGACAACTGTACTCATGATGTTTTCATGAATGTAAGCCTATTTGGAACCCTTTTTTTCCTTTCTCAAGGTCACGTGGGCATTCCAAATCAAACCACTTACTATTTGTTAAGATGTGAGGACACTTTATTTATTTATTTTTTTTGGCCGTGCTACACGGCATGTGGGATCTTAGTTCCTCAACCAGGGATTGAACCCGTGCCTCCTGCAGTGGACTGCCAGGGAAGTCCCTGAGGACACTTTGGTTTTAGACATTTGTCTGAGACTTCTTCTGGATAAGATGATTTTACTGTTCGTTTGTGTTATTAAAGCAGAAACACAGAGTGCTGCTTATAGGCAAGGATACTTTATGATGTAACTCTTCACAAGTTTGAATGTGGAAATCGCATATTATTTATTTGGTGCTAATAGACATATAGCAGTTTGCTAAGCTGCAAAGAAATTTGGGTGGCAGGGATTCCATGAGCAAAGGTGATTCTTCTTTCAGTAATAAAATTAATTACTTTATCTTAAAGCTATTTCTCAAAACTAAACAAAAGAGGAATTTTTAAAAAGAGGTTTCATTTAAACATTGGTATGTTATTGACATGAATGTCATGTATTTTAATCATATGTTGTTATTTTATACTTGCTTCCAGAAATATTCCCACCTTCTATCCAAATGCTCCCAGGTTGTGAATTAGTAGAGTCAGAATTAAAGTACAGTAGAGTAGAAAAGAACTAGATTGGGTGAATTAGGAGAGAGGTTCCATTTCTAGCTCTGTAACTTTCTAATTAAATGACTTCAGGTAAGTCATTGAACTTTCCTGTGGTTGTATCAGTAACACTAGGAAGCTGTACTAGATTTTCCTAAAGACTGGCTGTGGCTGCCTAAGGATAATTTGAGGAACTTTTTAAAAATACGGATGCCAAGGCTCTGCTCAATAGATTCTGATCAAACAAGCCAGGGGTTGGATCAGTGACTCTGAATTTTTAAAAAGTTCTCCACATGATTATACTCACTGCCAGGTATGGAAGCTGCTTGTGTAGATGATCTTAAGGTACCTTTTGGCTCTAAAATTCTATGGTCCTACCAAAGTTTTATTTTATGCCCAACTGCCCTAGGGATCAAAGGCTGAACAGTGGGAAGTACTATGTAAATCTTCATTTATCAGCTTTCTAGGGGAAGGGTAAATAAAGCTCAGGTGGTGGTTTTTCCTGCTTTTTGGAGTTAAAACTGCATATTTCTCTGAGTCCTTATATAATACAGTTCATTCATTCAACAAATAATTCTGAGCTCCTATTATGTGCCAGCTTCTGTAGTGGCCTATATATATATATTTTAAAAAATAGATTTATTTATATTTTTATTTATTTATTGTATTTTTGGCTGCATTGGGTCTTCGTTGCTGTGTGCGGGCTTTCTCTAGTTGCGGTGAGAGGGGGCTACTCTTCGTTGCAGTGCGTGGGCCTCTCATTGCGGTGGCTTCTCTTGTTGCGGAGCACGGGCTCTAGGCGTGCGGGCTTCAGTAGTTGTGGCTGCTTTAAAGATTATCAGGATCAGGTTTTAGAATACAGGATTAGTTGGGGCGCTGTCTAAAAATAATTTTTGAAAGCCTGATCTAGGTTGCTGACTTAGTCTACTGTATCTTTAGTTCAGTTTGTTGAGTGTTTATTTAGGCTTAATTTTTTAGAACTTAAAGTACTTTATTTGGGAGAAGATCCCAGGAAGGACCAATAGAATATGAGGAAATGAGAGAGGGGAGAGAAAGGCATATACTATTGAGCTGATAATTGCTGTGGATAACCAGGGCTCAGTCCTGATGGAGAACTCTGGGTGGCATTGTAAGAACAGTGCCAGTCAAAGTGGGGTCCACAGACCAGTGCCAGTCTATGAACTGTTTGTTATAGGTCTTCAATAAGATAAGTACATAAATTATGTGTAAGGGTTTAGAAACGCTCATGGAATTTGACAAAGTAATTTTATGTTCATTGAATCTAATAAGTTTTGGTTATATTTGTATGTTTCTTTTTTCATTTCATTTTCTTAGTTATTAATTTCTATTGTATTTTATGAAAGTATCAGTTCATAAGGGATTGGCAATTAAAACAAACAAAAAAATAGGTCCCTCACCACAGATAGCACTGTTTGAGAACACAGCTCACAGTAATTCCTTCCAAGAAGCCAGGGAACTGGGCTAACCACGGAATTTGCTTTTGGTTAATAATCGGGTAGTGGAACTCATGTTTTCTCCCATCATTGCCAGGCTGGAGGTGAGGTTGGTGAGTTAGGAGTTGCTGAGGCAGGTGGAACTCCTGTAATAAGTACGTAAAAAGTGTTTTAACAAATTTAACTAGGATCTGGAACACATTTTGAGATTCTGAGTTAAAAGATGGACAAATGGGGGCTTCCCTGGTGGTGCAGTGGTTGAGAGTCCGCCTGCCGATGCAGGGGACACAGGTTCATGCCCCGGTCTGGGAAGATCACACATGCCACAGAGCGGCTGGGCCCATGAGCCATGGCTGCTGAGCCTGCGCGTCCAGAGCCTGTGCTCCGCAATGGGAGAGGCCACAACAGTGAGAGGCCCACGTACCGAAAAAAAAAAAAAAAAAAAAAGATGGACAAATGAATTTTATCAATTAAGAACAAACAACCAGATATCATTTGTCCTTATCCAGAATTTATGACAAGGTGCTGTATTTTCGTTATTTGTGAAACTATAATATCCTTGGGTTGGGTAATGCATTTACTCCAAGAAACTCAAAGCATTTTAATTATATTATTTCTTTGATAAATCAGGAAAAACAGGAATACTTGTTTTATGAATAAACGTTACATAAAGTACATTAGTTTGCATTTTATTTCTTCATTCAAAAAATATAATTCTTTACTCATCCTACCCTTTTAGCAAGCAATTTTGTAGCTACCCCGAGGCAAGCAAATTTATAATTATACTCTGGAAAACCTGTTTCTTAAAGAAGGGAAAGAGTCTTCATGATTGAAAATTAGCAAAGATCTGAGATGTTAATTTCACGTCCGTGCTGCCTTTCGTCCTTCATTAGTACTAACATTCTGGATTTGTGTGTTTGTTTTCTGTTTTGTTTGTTTTTTTAGGACAGTTTATTCTGTGTTGTAGCGGCATTTGGCTGTTTCTACTATTGAACCTTTGAAAGCTGGAAAAAGATATGACCATGAAGAAATATGAAGTTTTTTATATTGTTAAATATCTTGACAAAATAAAGTTGGCAGTTTGGCAACGGAGTCTGTTGAGTTTTAGGCCTTATAGTTTAATGTTTTGATTTCTTTATAACATGTTATTACATTTGGAAGGTAGAGAAAAAAGTAGGGAAAATTCATAATTCAATTGTTCAAACATAACCAGTGGTGTTTTGTTGTTTTTTTTTTTGCATGGTTAAAAAAATCATGTATATAATTTTGTAACCTGATTTTTCACTTCTCATAATGTCATGTGCAATTTTTTTGCCATTTTATTTGATCGCAGTTTTCACTAGCATACTTTAATAGTTGTACTTATTCCATTAGGTTATACACCATTGGTTATTTTTGCCATGTCCTTATTGAGGGACTGATTATTTCTAATTTTTCACTATTATAAATAACACTGAGATCAGTTTATTTGTGCATAAAGTTTTTTATCCTACATTTTTTTGGAAATGAGGAATATCAAATAATATATTATTAATCAAACATAACTACAGTGAATTCCCATATAGGAAATATTAATATCACCTTATAGCAATTATAGGAAAAGCGCTTAAGGAAATTGGAAAACTCCAGTTTCTTAAAGACAGTTTTGTCAAAAAAGGTTGGAGTTTACTCTCCACATGTCAAGATGCTCCTTAGGTCAATATGCAGTGTCCTAAGATCCTCTCAGATGGTTTCAACCTAATCATTGCCAAGACGCCATCATGGACAGAGTTGTCTGTAGGCCATCAAGCTGGTGAGGGTTACCAGGTTCTGGGTAGGACAGGCTCTTGCAGGTACAGTGCATACACATACACATGGAGTTCAGGTAGGACACCAACTGCTCCATCAACTACAACGTGAAAGGCCCTGTATGGAGGGCGATGTGATCATACTGTTGGAATCAGAGCAAGAGGCTCAGAGACTACGTTGATCCTGCTGAGCCCTGGATGTCTGGGTCAAGCACTTAGCCCATGTTTAGGATCAAACTTGTTTCAAGAAGCAGATCTGAATAACTCTGTATATCATTTTTCATGGTGAATTATTGGAAGCATTTCCTTTAAGATCAAGAAAAAGGGAAGGATGTCCTCTCTCACCACTTACACTCTATATAGTGCTGACATGCAAAGTTCCAAACAGTCTCCTTTTTTTTGCTCTGAACGTGAATATCATTCCTGGAAATGCAAACTGGCATCCGTTCACTGACCACGCAGAGGAACTGATCTTTCTAAGCCACAGAGTCAAGTTTTGGAAACCTGCTAGTGCTGGAGGGTCTCCTGCAGAGGCAGGAGGTGGCTGTGGCTCACCGTGGGGACAAGGACACTGGGAGCAGAAGTTCTGGGAAGTACTCGTTGGCGTGAACCCTCCCGGAGTCTGCCATTAGCCCCACTGCTTTTCCTACATTTTGAATTACTGCTTTTATCTTTCACCCAGTGTTTTTGCTCAGCTCTTGCCACTCTACACTTTCCACAGCTTGTTAGTTTAAACATGTATTTGTTTTCTCCAGGGTTTGCCCAGTGTCAGGGTCAGAGTTTCCAGCCTGTATATGAAATTAGCTCTCCCTTAAGACCCTCGGAGATTATGTTGGTTACTATCCCAATCCCCACTATCTTTGTTTTTTTTTTATGAAAGATAAAAGTTATATTTATAAACATGCTAAAGAATACATTAAAAGAAACAAAAAAGAATGAGGAAAAATAAACTGTCTTAATCCTGTTATACATAAACATCGTTTCTATGGGACTCTACAGTCCACTTCAACAATATTCAAACAACAAAATCCCCATCATTGAAAGAGCTTCAACACTCCTTTGGAGTTGGCTATTACAGAATTTATCCTGCATATCGGGTATGCATGAAAAACATCCTGGAGACTCAGAATATCTGCAAACATGAAACTATTTCTCTAAATTGCATTTATTGGTCATGAATCCCGTAAAGGGGGGTCAACTACAACTTGGAGCTTGTCATCTTGCGGTGGGAAAGCAATTTGAATCCAAAGGGCACCTTACTATAGTTCATTCATGTGGCTCTAAGTATATTTTATAAGCTTCTCTTCAATGCCAAATATCTACTGAGAATTAAAGAGGAGATGAAACTTTCTAACCAATTCCAAGAATTCATGTAATAAAGGGTAATCATTACAGAGTTTATATATACTCGGTTTTCTTAAAGCCATAGATTTTATTATAGAGAGGAGAAAGAAAATGGCATTAATAGATCAAGCACATGAATTCCAGAATACTGAATTCCTTTTCCTCTTAACAACCAATTACATCCATGGACTGCAAAATTACAGCCACTGCAAAATTTTTAGTGTTTTGCATCTTGTCAAAGAAAGACCAATATTTTTGCCTGAGTGTCCCCTTAACCTTATGAGCTATTATTTTTTAACTTTCTATAAAACTTCTTTTCAAATAATTTATTAATTATAACAACTGGGAAGAGCAGTGTGAGGACCTGAATACTTCAACCAAGCACTGAAGGCAACAAACTTCCTTAAACATGCTCTCCTGCCTGGATTTTTATATATTAAAATAACCTTTCTCCCTCACTTCTCCAGGGGTACCCAGAAAAGAGTGGCATTTCTTGGCCATCACAAGTCTCATGTAGAATCTTCTCTGTTCTTCAGTGTCCTGACAAAGGCCTCTGGACCTGTAGCTCATGCCTCTGGTAATTCAGTCTTGTTCTCAATAAGAGAGATCTCCAGCACAGGTAAAAGTAGCTGAAAGGCATCCTGAATGTAGGAAGCACCGTTTGATGCCTCTAGAAATACTGCAGTGATTAACGGATTAAGGACGTCTGCCTTTTCCTTGACCCCAGCAGTTGTTAGGCAGGTGGTGAACTCTTTAGACAGAGAGGACAACTCTTTACACAACACAACTGTCATCTGGGAAAGGGCTCTGCTCCTTTCTATGGCTGTTACTTCCAGCTTCCTGCCATGCAGAACCAGAGCCCCTGTTTTGTGAAACAGTTCAATTGAGCAGGCAGTCAGTTCTCCTAGGCTCCTGACTGCAAATGCATGGATATCCTCTATTGAATTGTTATTGATTTGCTCAATTTTTTCTGCTTCCAACTGTTTTTTTCCTTCTTCCTTCTCTTCTAATGGTTTGGCCAGAGATGTCCTGATCCATTCACAGGCTGTATTTCTTGCCCTAGTAAGTTTCTCTGGTTTGGAGGAGACATGCAGCTGGGAAAATACCTCTGTTATCTCTTTGGTAAAGTCTTCATCCCCTTTCTTCTCTTCCTCCTCTTCCTCACAGAACTCTGCTAGGGAAAATGCTTCTTTGAGTTGCTCCAATTCACATTTTAGAGTCTCCAATTCTTCTCCACTTAGAGAATTAAGAATAGATTTCACCTTTATTTCACTTTCTCGGGAGAGCATCTCCAGAGCTTCTAGATGTGAAAGGCCTTGAAATTCATCAAAGAGTAGCCCATAATGAGTTTTCTTGTCCGTTTCCATGGTAACCTCATTGGTGGTACATAGCTCTTCTTTCTCCTTCGCCTCTCTTAAAACCTGAGACAGTGTGGAAGTCCGGTTCATCAGACCCTTGGTTCTTTTAAATCCAGGATCCCCTTCTGCTATTACATCCATTGTCTTTTTCCCAATGAATTCTAAGGCATCCAAACCCCCACTGATAACACTCTTTCCTGTGCTCTGAACAGCAGTAGAGATGGTAGAGAATACCCCAAATGGCCCACTCATTGGAGAGGAGTTTTCATTCTCTTTGGCACTTGTCTCTCCTGTTGCATACTGGACTTCAGATGAAATTTCACTGGGACTAGGGATTCCAAGGGAAGTCTCTGCCTTCTCAATGACATTTGAAATACCTTGTCTTTGCCTGCAGCCTGTGATGTCTGAACAGGGAGAACGTCTGAAGTCTCAAGGTCACTGGAAGGTTTGGACTCTGGTCTTTTCCGAGTAGAAGCTACAGGTTCTGATTTACTCTCTGACTTGGCACTTTAGTCAACTGACTCAAAATTCTTGGTTGGCTCACAGTTCTCATCTTCAAGGATGGAAGTTGCTTCAGTTATCACTTCAGTCTCAATATCATCTTTATCCAACATGATTAGATCATTGCCCAGCCCGCCGCCATCCGCACCGCCACCACAGCCGCAGAGAAGCCACTCCCTACTCCCCACTATCTTTGTAGTAATGTTCCCCTTAGAGTCCCCGGTGTCTTCTCCAGCTAGCTGTCCTTATCTGCAGCACCTTAATCTATCTGCCCTATTCAAATAACTGTTTGAAACCGGAAAGGGAATGGTTACAATCCTTTTTTTCGCCTGGAGGCTCCTTAGCAGATACTTAACTTTACCCACCCTATTTCTTCTCAGCCACTTTCAAGTCAAGCATGTAGACAAAAATAAGAAGTAAATACATTAAACAGTTCTTTTACATACTTCTTCCATAACATTGGGTATTTACTTAACTTACATCTATAGAATCAAAAGGGACCCCTCCAAAGTTTCATTCTAGCAAAGGAAAAAGTTTCTCTTCACCAGACACCCTGCCATGTGATTTCCTACCAGTGGCCTCCCTTGAATCCGTTCCTGTTCAGCTAGCCCCCAGTTTATGCCTAGGGATCACCTTTTGTTGAGCCAACCTGGGTTAGAAATAACAGGAAGAGGGCTTTTCACAGGACTTGGTTGGAATTCTCTTTACATCACCAAGTAGGGAAAAGGTGGCTCTGTGTGAAGCAGCCGCAGACCATGGGGTGGAGGTAGGGGATGTCAAGGGTGGAAGGCGTCGCGGCCATCTGCATTGTGAATGTGCTGGTACGAGTGCCTGGCACCACGCCAGGCGCTGGGGTAGAGTAGGAAGGACCAGGACTGACAGGTCCTCCTGGAAGGGACCGAGCCCGGAGCTGGGCAAAAGGGGAGCCATCGCGTTAACGCTTCTTGAAGGACTAACAGTGAGCACGAGTGACAAGTCACAGCGTGTCTCATTACAAGATACATCCGTATCTTCACCGCATACTCTAGTTCCGCATGGAGACTGACCCTTTGCCATGTTGTCTTCTGTCTGTGGGGATTTCGGTTCAGTCACTCCGTCCCCGGGGCCTCTATGGAGGCGGAACTACTGTGTCAGGGGTCGTGGTTTTCAGGGAGAAGTCGTGGTCGGAGTGACAAGAGGGCGGGCAGTAGGCGGGACTTCCGGCCCACGGTTCCGTCAGCTGCCTTTCCCGGGCGTCTCCCCGCAACCCCCTCAACTTCCCTTGTCCGTGACGCGGCGCCCAGGAGAAATTAGACGGGACAGGGACCGGGGGAGCGTGAGCTGCAGGTGAGGACTCGGTGTGTGCCTATCCTTGCGGCTCTATTTGAGAGGAGAAATTGTGGCGCTGGGACCGCGGGGAGACTGACTGAAAGAAGAGTGGGTCAGTGACAGCGAAGGGAGTGTGAGGCTGGGGCTGCAAGGGGCAGCCTGTGACCCGGGGGCACTGACAACGAGGGGACTGTGACTGAGACGCAGCTGCTCGGGAGGGGTCTGCGACCCGCAGCAGTGAATGCTGAGGGACTCTGACCTCGGAGAACACGAGGCAGAGGCTGCGAGGGGACTATGACCGAGGAAGTATGAAGCAGTGACAGCAGGGAACTGTGACCAAGGACCAACGAATCGGAGGAGACCGATCGATGGATAGTAACTGTGAGGGGACTCTGACCTAATGGAACATGAAGCGGCGGCTGCAGGGGGATTCCTACCAACGAGCAGTAACTTTGAGGGGCTGAGTTGGAGAAGAGTGTGAGATCAGTGACTGGACAGGGTACTGTAGCATGGTGTTTGGGTACGGGGTGTGGTGACTGGGTGGAGAAGGTCTTAGTGGGAAACACTGGTTTGGGACTTATCAGACAGACCCGAGTTTAATTTTATGGACAACCTTCTTGTGGCTGGGAGGCTCACCTCACCACTGAGCTACAGTTTCTTCCTCCGTGAATGGGAAGTTTGGGCTAGATTAATGTTTCCTAAACTATGGCTTCCATCCTATGATTGGGTTGTGAAGTCTATTTAGTGGATGGAACCTGAAATTAAAAAAAAAAAAAGAATAGAAATTTTCAGTGTGTTCGTAGAGTAAGAGTATTATTTCATGAAACGTGTTTCAGTTATGTGTGTGTGAGATTATGATGTAAAATGGATTTCATGTGTCTTAAAATGTAGTAAAAAAAAAGTTGGAAAAACATTGGACCAGATTATTTCTGAGTTTTCTTTCTGGTCTAAAATGCAACGATTCTACGATTAGGGGACTGTTTGGAAGTACAAAGATGCAATTAGGAAGACTGAATCCGGGGCTGGGGCACAGGCTCTATCAGATTGACTTAACTGGAGAAGGCTTCCCAAATAGATTCGAAGTGACCAGTTGTGACTGGGGACTGAAACTCAGGTTCTCAGCTGGGAGAACCAACAGGTATATATTGAAATAGGGACAGTGGTATTTATAAAGGCAGTGGGGATCTAGGGGTTTGTGATAGGAAAAACTGCTAGGAATAGACATTGAGGAAGCGTGGAAGCTTTGAGGAGGGTAGGAACAAAGCTTAGAAAGGGAACCGAAGATAGAGACAGAAAAGATTCTGCCAAGAAATAAAGTGGGAGTAGGGAGATACAACCTTCAGGGTCCCTTTCAATCTTGATATTTAGTGATTCTGCAAGTACAGAGAATTGCTAGTAAAAAGAAACTGGTTGAGAATGGAATTTGGTGCAGGAATCAGTGGTGAACAGATGATTATCTTGGAGAAGACAGGATGATCTGGGAAGGTCAACAATGGTGACTGGAATGCCACAGCGGAGAAGCTTTACTGTTTTTAGCTATCCAGTTCAATGATTTGTGCACTGGAGGCCAAGGTTGGCATTCTGGGAATGATACCATGCTGTGGATAATTCAAATGATGTTTTAGCTCTGGTTTTATTTCCTACCAATTCCCTTTCATGAGGGCTGTTAGTGATGCAGATGAAATGAACTAAAGTGAGTTTCACTACTTCCTCCTCTTTTACAGCCCTTTGTAGAAGGTGCTACTTACTGTGTCACCCAGTGTTTTAAAAAATATATCTAATAGAAGAAGCTTGAGGCAATTTCAACTTACCAGACACTGTATTTATCTGATAACCTAATAGTCACCCCGCCCTCTACACACACATACATTTTGTGATAGGGGAAGAGAGTTCAGAAAGATTCTTGAATGGGAATGAGTTGGGAATAGTGAGGGATAGCCTTTGTTTAGCTAAAAAATGGCTTTTTCTAGAACATTAGATGTTTACTTGGCTTACATTCAACATAACTAAAAGGAACTACTCAAGAATTTGTTCCTAGAACAGAATATAATGCTTAAAGGTAACTCACCACAGAAGGGAAGACATTTAGACTTGGGGACTGCAGCACTGCCTCTGGGGTCATTTGTGTCTGCTGAATGAGATGATTCTTTCTGACTTACCCTGCTTTGCAAACTCCCTTTGAAAACCAGTATAATGGCCTGATTGATAAAGAATGAACTTTTATTCCTTCCTCAGCCTATGATTTCTTCTCCCATAACAGGTGAGGTTTTATTTTTCTTGGGGAATCTCCTCTTTGGATATGTGATCCCTTAAGGAGAATGATCTAGTCAGATAGAGCCTTGGATTCAGAAGTCCCTGGTTACTTTATCTGATGTTAACACTGACTTACTCTGTGTCTCTGGGAAGAATTATTGCTTTCTCTTGCTTTAGATTTTCTATGGCAGAGATAACTGTTCTTCTGGTTAAATGGCCCTTTAAGAATCTGAAATATATGCATACTCACCAAATTTAGTGTACAATCTCATGGAGTTTGTAAACCACCCGACCTCATTCATGATTTTCCTGTGGGAGCTGAATAACCTCTTCATGTTATAAACTCTCATGAGGATTAATTTATGAAATATTCATAGAAAAAGCAAGCATAATAATTTGCTATTATTTTTAATGATGGATAAGGACAGAATATCTACTTATAATTGTAATTTTCTTATGCTTTTCTTTCCAAGTGTTTGTGTAACTCTCATCTGAAACCAGATCTTCTGGCTTTTCTACTAATAGAGGTAATTCCTCCTACTGAATCAAACAGAAATAGGTCTGTCTTACACTAACGTTTGTGTTACCCTAAAATAGATTGGAAAGAATAAATTTTTCTAAAAGTCATGATTTGGGGGGAATTTTTTCTGTTAGAGAAACCCTGAAATCAGAGTACTTCCCAATCATCACTGAACTGTGAGAGTTCCCTTTTACTCAACATTGTGGCTGCTTCTACATCTTTTACCTATGTTATCAGTACATAAGTCACATTAGAAAACAATAGGCAGAAATAGAGACAGATGTAGAGAACAAACGTATGGACTTCCACCAAGGGGGGAAAGGGGGGGCTGGGATGAATTGGGAGATTGGGATTGACATATATATACACTAATATGTATAAAATAGATAACTAATGAGAACCTGCTGTATAGCACAGGGAGCTCTACTTCACTTCTCTGTACAGTAGAAACTAACACAGCATTGTAAAACAGCTATACCCCAATTAAAAGACAAAAAAAGAAAGAAAAAAGAAAACAATAGGAAGGAGAGTGTAAGAGCAGGGCTCAGCCCTCCTGCTTATATACCCAGAGGGTAACTTCTAGCACTTTCTCTTTCCTAAGCTTAAACCTTTCTGTTTCTAGTCCTAAAGTTCCCTTTTCACAATATTCCTGTCAAATGGGTACCTGGACACGTGTATGAAGTATGATTTGTTTTGTCAATTGTTTATGAATGATTTGTGGCAAAATTTAAATTCTAACTCCCTTCCTCTATAATTCAGTCAGTAAATTTAGGGAATATACATTTTTACATACGTTATTTTGCAGTATATGCCAGGGCACCATTCCAGAAGAAAAAAAAAAGAGTGAGTCTCTAGTATATATTTGGCACTGTGTTTGGTTCGTTTACATACATTATCTCATTAATATAAATAATTGTATTGACTGTATTTTACTGTTTGCAAACCAGATTAGTAGATAGATATATAGCAGGGTTGTGTTTTGGTTTTTTGTTTGTTTGTTGTCTTTTTTCTCCCTTTGTTTTGGTAACTCTCTTGTTGAAAGTTATATTAGTTTGAAGTTTTCTATGTTTGGACTAGAATGATTGGCAGCGGAACCCATGGATCTGCTAGGCTGTTACATATCACATTCACAACTATTTGCAAACCAGTTTGAAGTGAGGGCTGCTAATGACTTATAGGGCTTCCTTGGTGGTGCAGTGGTTGGGAGTCCACCTGCCGATGCAGGGGACACGGGTTTGTGCCCCGGTCCGGGAAGATCCCACATGCCGCAGAGCAGCTGGGCCCATGAGCCTGCGCGTCCGGAGCCTGTGCTCCGCAGCAGGAGAGGCCACAACAGTGAGAGGCCTGCGTACCGCAAAAAAAAAAAAAAAAAAAAAAGACTTATAGTCTTTGCTTTATATTAGAGAACAAAATGAGTGTATGGCACTTAACAGAAAACGGTAGTTTTTTAATCTACGTAGAATTGCCTCAGATGTGATTACGTTTATTTGTTTATTTTTTGGCCCCTAGGTCTTAATCTTTTTTGTGCCGTGGACCTCTTTGTCAGTATGGTGAAACCTTGTTGACTCCTTTTTTGGGATAATGTTTTTATTGCAAAAAAATACATAGAATTGTAAAGGAAACAAATTATGTTGAAATATAGTTATAAAAATATTTTTTAAATGTGTGATATAGCACATGTAGTTTTTATTAACATAGTAAATAAAGTTTACTGTCTATCAGTGGGTCTTATAGCTATGATAATTTTTAAATGATCGTGTGTTTAAACAGTATTTCAAGATATTTGTAATGAGTGTGATATTATATGAAAATATCTATGATTTCTATTGGTGACAAAGTCTGTTCTACTAAGTGTACTATTACTATTGTGGCTTATGTTCATAATTGAAGGAATGGTGAATTTGCCAGAGGCTAGTGAAAATAAAGATATAATTTTTTTGGTCCAAATCCAAGACTCCCTGAATCTGTCGTAGACCCTGCCTTAGAGATATAAGTTCCATAACCCACTCTAGGAAGAGCAAAATCTAAACACAGGGTTTACTCACTGATTCTTCTAGTAGAATAGTGGCAGAGCAAAATCATTCAACTGTAAGAGATATTACAAGTGTCCCTTGTGGTTTTTAGGATAATCTCTTTCCTGAAATATCCTACTGTGTGGTCAGGCCCAAGAAGAAACTTTATTTTGGTCCAGGACTAACCCAGGGTCTGGCACAGAGTAAGTGCCCACTCAGTGTTTGTTGAATAAGGGTTTCTCTGGAGAAATTAGAGGGAAGAGATCAAGTTCAGAGCTGAGATCTTAGATGTGGCAATTTACAGGTCCCAAATATTGAGGAATAACATTGAGCTCTGATTGAAAACTAATCATCTGTGCAGATCATGTTGTGAAATCAGAACTTCCCAAATCAGGCATTCTTTTGACTTATTCTATACAGTGTGGTGATATATACAGGTTAGTGACATAAACTGTAGAAATCCTGTATCAGAAAGTTATGGTACAGTTTCTTGAAATAATTCTATTCCTAGCACTGTCCTCCACTTTAGAACTGTTTGCATAATCTAGGCAGAATTCACTACCAAATTATTGATAAAACTGATCCTGTTTTCATCTAGAATAGAGTTGGCAAACTTTTTAGGTAAAGGGCCAGATAGTAAATATTCAGCTTTGCAGGTCATACAGCCTCTGTTGCAACTACTCAACTCTGCAGGTGTAGCACAAAAGTGTCCAA